TATACATATTGGATAGGAAGAAAATGATTACTGTAATAGTAGAATCTTTTCTAATGAATTTTACACTTCTATTTTGGTGAACGAGAACACAAGTAGAGACAATCGAACCATACAGTGAACACTTGATTTGTAAAATGTCAGCCAATCGTATAAAACTTGATTGTTCATTCATTTCTACACCATTCATTCGCTGTTCACGTTTTCTTCTCTTAGATCTTGTTAACCTTCTGTTGTCAGGTATTTAACTTTCGACTGATGATACGTACTATTTATATCTGTCGATATCAGTGGCACACAGTGCACTATATACACACTACTTTATATTCATCATCTTGCATTTTAGAAATATTTATTTAGGACTAATGTAGTCGGATGTTTTTGGGTACAGTTAACCATTTTAACAAGTATTAACTAGGTACTTACTCCTGTTACCCCCAGTGGAGCATAGGCCGCTAACCAACATTCTTCAACCCACTCTGTCCTGTGCCTTCCTTTTTAGTTCTATCCAATTGTTGTTCATTCTTCTCATGTATGTTTCCGTTTTTCGACGTAATGTGTCATTTGGTCTTCCCCTCCTCCTCAGGCCTTGAGGATTTCATATGAGGGTGCCTTGTGACACAGTTGGGTGCTTTCCCAAATACGTGCCTTATCCACTTCCACCGCTTCTTTCTGATTTCTTCCTCTGTTGGGACCTGATTTGTTCTTTCCCACAGTTAGTTGTTGCTGATAGTGTTTGTCCAACGGATTCGAAGTATTTCGCGTTAATAAACACTTGTATGTTCTGGATGTTGACTTTCATAATTCTCCAAGTTTCCGTCCCATACAATAGAATTGTCTTGACATTTGTATTGAAAATGGTATTCGCTATAGATTGGCCTTAAATGGGACATCACTCATAACCAGGGAGTACTGAATATTCAGTTAACCTCGGTATGAGAAACGTCATTTAAACACATCTATAATCTAGTTAGAACTCGAACCTAAATGTTTTAATTCAATCTGTGATGATTAATACCTATGAATTTAAGTAATCTTTGCAAAACTCCTCCATCAACACTCTAGTCATGTAATGACAAGTAAATCATTTGGAAATAAGTTGCGGACGTCACAATAAAAACTTGTGACCAATAGAGTTTAGACTTGTCTAGATTGGAACAGTCATAACTTTTGGCATTGAATAATTATCACTAATGGATTTAATATAGAAATATGTACTACTAAATCCTAAATCAGATTTTTAAAGGATCATTGAAAGGTTCAAAATCGTTAGATTCTATCTTGAGCTTGGTCATAGGTGAACACTGTATACATATATTGAGGAAATCACTAAACTGCATCATGAAGCAGGCCTTTATTTCCAATTTCGAAGGTAAACGGAGAAGAGAAAGGTCGAAGAACATACTACGTTGAGAATTAGAAGTCGATAGGAAAAGAATGGATAGCAACTAGAAACAACTGGAAAGGTTTGATCATGACAGAGTTGGTTGAAGAGTGTTGGTCAGAGGCGCCTATACTCCTCGATGAGAAGTGATAGGCGTAAGTAAGTAAGCTCTCTAATTACCAATAGTGTTCTACTATGAATATTAATTGTTTATTTGTAAAAAAATACTACTAACTAAATAGTTTTAAGTAAATGTTTGTAGAATAAAAGAAGAGGATTCATGAGACTCATAAACCATTTCATTATTATTATTATTGTCTCATACACTCTTGTTAAACCAATCGATCCAATACACAAATTCAACCAGACAAACTTCAGAAAGAGGAACAGAGAGAGAGAGAGAAAGAAGAAAAAAACGCAACTGAAACTGCATAGAAGAAAGTCGATGTAACCACATGTATATCACGTTTTATTATATTTATGTAATATGTCATAGATCTTAATATCTCCGTATGAATTTACTCATTTTTAATAAAATGTCTACGACAAATAGAAGTATCCTAAACTACCATAGAGTTACTTCATAAAAAACTCATATATATTTGTAAATTTTGTACTATTATGTGTGAATGTGTCATGTGTGTGTGTGTGTATGTATGTATGTATGAATGCCAGATTACATAGTTGTACAATATTACAGTTTATTATATCTAATAATGACTTATATCTCAATGTGGTTATTGTTGTTGGTGGTGGTGATGGTAGTGATCTTACTGTGTTTTCACTGAGATACGAACAACCCTCACACCCACACACACATACACACGTGTACAATAATCACTAACGTCATAGATGGAAGCATGTGACCATTAGATAGAATGATGATATAAGAAAACATCAGTTACTATTAATTATATCATAAATGAATATTTATGTATCTATGTATCTATCTATCTAAATGATCAAATTCTTTCTGTCATAATTATATCTACATATACATATATGTGTATTTGCATATATAGAGTACAGTATTTGTATTGTTTTTTATTATCAAGATTTGGTATCCTTCAAGACAACACTTCTTCAATAGATTAATCAAAGAATAATGTAATATATTCTATTACTTTTTAAATCAATTTGAAAAGAAATATGACTTTTTTTATATATGAGAAGTAGAGGTATTGAGTATAAATGTCTCCTTCAAAGATGATATCTTGAATCTATGGACTAAAAGCCTGTTAGTCAGTCAGCTACAATGTAGGATCAGGGGGACTCAAGATCATTAAAAGTCTGTAGTGATTATGAAACCATTAAACCATTGAAACAGTATCTAATGGTTTATAGATCATTTTGGTATAATATTTTGATTTGGTTAAACTTTATTCGTCATGACTTCTTACTGTAATTCCTTTTTTTTATTATCAGAATAGGGATATTATAGAGATTGTAATAAGTTTAATAGTTGAATTCATGAATTGATTAAAGTTAGACCACCATAGAAAACTTGAAAGAACTGGACAATTACAGTTAAACATATTAACACTTTCGGATGCTGGTTCAGTGGTCTACACGTTAAGCGTTCGGCACATGCGACCGAATATCCTTCATTTGAATCTCACATGAGGGATTGTGAATGAGCACTACCACTAAAGAGTCCCATTTTTAGACGAAACAACTGTCCAATAGTTCCAGGTGTTGAGGATGTTAGATCCCTAGAACTCACTTGCAAAAGATCCTGATTTTGTAATTTTATTCTAGAAAATTGAATTTTATGTTTTCGCGCCAAGAGACGCTTAGTTGACCTACAGCTTACATTTCCCACTTAGAACTCCTTGACTGTCATTGATTGGTGGATTTTCTTTAGTACGCTATTTTATGGCTCTCCTAAGGGCATTTCTATCATTGTATAAATAAGTTTGATTTGTATACTTAGTGACCTCCTATTTTCTGAGTGCTTGTAGAATACATTCTTTACGCCTCATCAAAATTACTTAATCTAATTAGCAGGTTCAGGGACAACGGATTAGAATAGCCTATCGTGTCATTATATCTTTGACTTTCATTCCGTTTACCGAGTAAAGTGAACTCGTAATAGCATTCAAGCATATCACCAGGTTTTCCATAGTTATTTAGCTTTAATTGACCCATGAATCCAACTACGAAATTCTTTTTTATTTTACACTTGAGGTTTATTGGAAGAGACAATTCTATTGTACTACTAGGTAATGTCAAGAGTTATTCATTTAAGTTACTAAATACGTTTTGTTTTTGCAGATCATTCCAATGTAAATTTTAGACGGCTAATAATTACCTATAATTATTGATTTAGAAACAGTCACTGATGAATAAATCCACACGATATTCCTTTGAAAAAGTTTTTAAAAACAGAAAATGACAACGAAACACTTGTATCCTAAGTGTTTTCTTTACGTTTCTATCTCATTGAAGTAATAAATTGATGGAACTTAATCAGTATGAAAGTGAGATAGTAACATATATACACATTGTTAGCGTTGAATGGTGAGTACTTTGCAAATATGTATATATCATAGGTTGGTTGGATTTGAAAGTGTGAACTGATGATTAGTTAAAGGTAGTTAGTACGAAACCATCGATCCAGATTTCATTCTAGATAAGACTTTTCGGCAACCACTACTAGGAATCTTGAGAGAACTGGTACTCCTTATGACATATAAGCCTAGGTCACCGGGTTTCATGAATTGAAACTACAGCACAGACATGCACGGATGACGAATTACTTGGTCATTACCAAGTTACTAATGATTAGTAAAAATGTGAACTACTTGAATTTCAATCCCATGATCTGTAATTAAATCGAAAACTTTTGTGTCTTGGATTCAATCCCTGGTAATACATTTTTTTCACTTTTCACAGAAACAAAGTTACACATGAAACGAAAATATTTTTGCAGTGATCTCCATATATTGCAAACATTCTCCAAATAATATTAACAGTGCAGTTCAACCGGGTCTGTTGTAAGATAGTAACTCACTAAAGACAATGATGAATGTGTCATATGTGCCTGGTCCTACGTTGTAGATGACTGACTAACTGGTGTATACACTCTCTGTCTTCCCTTAAAATAAGAGATTAGAATTGCTTTGTATCTTTCTTGCTACAAACTATTACTTTCTTCCTGTACCATGTCCTTATATGCAATCTTTCCTTTATCTATTACCACCATTGACTTAACCACTCCAATGAATCCGGTGTCCATCTTGTTGTGCTAATGAGGTATGGCAATTGGATCGATGCATATATGTGCCTGATCCTACGTTGTAGTTGACTGACTTAGTTTGATGTATCAATCAATTAAACATTAACACCGTTGGATGCCGGTCAGCTCAGTGGTCTAGTGGTCACGCACTCGCGCGCGAGATTGATAGGTCTTGGGTTCGAATCTCACGAGACAGGATCGTGAATGTGAAATGCTGAGGAATCTCACAATAGGACGAAACGGCTGTCCAGTACTTTCAGGTTTTCCATGATGGTTTAGCTTCAATTGACTCATGATCTCAAGCATTGAAATAGTGACCTTGTTTGAATCAAATCCGGCCAATTTACCATGAATTACCATATAAATTTTCTTTTATTTTTTAAAATGTTGTTTCTCATTTTTCACGACTGAAACGAAAACAAACAAACAAGTCCTTACCTTTTATATAGATCACTGGTGTTTTATTTTGTTTATATTTTTGGTGATGATCAGCTTTTGTAAAAGATTGTCATCAGTAACTATCAGTAAAAAGGAGACAATGTCATGTGTTCGCATCTAAAAATGATAATGTCAAACTAGTTAGAATTTAGAAAAGAAAGAAAGAAACAGCTTCAAAGTTATGGAATAAACATCAACAGAATATATCAATTAATCAGTGTAAGATTAGAAAATGATCATTAAGTACCACCTATCAGATGTTAGTTTATCGGTAAATAACTTTGAACGTAATAATAGATGGAGTTATATTTCTTTTTAATGTTTATTAGAGTTAAAAATGAATTAAGACTTACGTAAGAAGTAGATTAAGGTTTAAAATTATGATGAAAGTGTTCATAAATTAATCTTAACTCTAAAGTTGGAACCGAGAACGCTTATTTCGTCCTACTTGAGATTCATCAGTTGAATGTAGGTGAATCTTGGTATTGATGTTTATTTCAAGCATTGAAATTAGTAACTTTCATTTTAAACCTCAAACGCATTATCTACTCAACTATTCAGTTAGCCATAATCAATATGTTTCATAAAAACTTGTTAAAAATAGTATTACAACAAACATTACAAGTTTCACATATCCTAAACAAAATTGACTGAAATTCAGACATAAAGATCAGTCAGTCAGTCAGCAACAACACAGAACGTCATACGTATGTACATCAGTTCGGGTTGCCATACCACATTAGCACAGAGGTGCAGTTGTCGATTCAAATCCCGTAGTGGTAGAGGTAGCAAGAGTATAAGCAGTAATCAAAAAGATTAGGGTTTGAAGATGTTATTTAAAGAGTATAATTCAGTGAAATAAATTTGGAAAGAGAAAAAAGAGACAAAGAGGATTCATAAAGATATTCATTGTAAATTCTTAAATCATGATATCATCATTCATTCATTTATATTTGTCACTTAGCAATTAATAGTTTTTCTAAACGCCAATCATCAAACCGCATCAAGAGGCAAGCCATAACTTGAAATCCTGAAGTGAAGCGAAAAAGAAGAAGATACAAAGAACACATTACGTCGAGAAATAAAAGCAGATATGTGCAAAGGATGAATAACAACTAGAACAAGCTGGAAAGGATTATCCAGGACAGGGTTGAATGGAGAATGCTGGTGAGTGGCTCATGCTCCTTCACGAGGAGTAACAGGCGTAAGTAAGTAAGTAGTAATTAATAGTACTTTGTAGCTCATCCAATTATTACAGATCACTAGGTATTTTGTATCACTTATATACAAGCATTTTTCGAATACAACAATGTTCAGTTAGTTGAATGACTGCGACAATTTAAAAGTACAATTTTTTCTTACTGACGATCTTATTTTAAGCTCTATTTTCATTTGAAAAATTGGAATGGCTTACAGTAATGTGTTCATGTCAGTTATGACTGGTGGAGTTCAACCATTTCTGTTGTGAGATATTAACTCACTGAAGATAACAGTAGATGTTGGTGTAGTTTTGTGCATTGTTTGAAGTTAGATATTAACAGAGTTGAATTCCGCCTCAGTGGTTTAGAGATTAAGCATTCATGCGCGAAAGCGAATGTCCTTCATTCGAATCCCACATAAATCATCGTGAATGATCACTTGTACTGAGAAGTTCCATATTGGGACGAAACAGTCGTCCAGTACTTTCAAGTTTCCATAGTTGTTAAGCTCTGATTAAATATATAAATAGTGAAAGTTGAAGCTTCAAATGAAATCTTTAATAAAAGAAATCATACTATCATATGTATGACTTACCTATCAAGTGTAACTATTAATAATGTAATTTGTTGAACAAAAAGAACTCAAAAACAATCTCAAGTATAGAAGTATCTATATTTATAACTCTTGTATATATATATTTGTCATCTGTATAAAGTAACATTTTGGAAATACATAGGGGGAAAAAAACGAGAAAAACCAACAAAAAAAAGAAGAAACCAATCAATACCAGTTAGAAACGACGCGTTAGTAACAATCATTGAATGTAGTCAATTATGAAAGAAACTTTTATAGTTTATCATTTCTAATCATGACATGTATACACATACACTTGTAGAGAGAAAGAAGAAAAAGAAAAAGAAAAGAAAAAGGAAAAGAGATTTAACACATATAACCATAGAGTAAGAGAATAAAGAAAGAATACTGGAAGAGTAAAGAATTAAAACATCATATTATATGTACTGATTATGTTCAGGGCTTTGCTTATAAAGTAGATAATCTAAGTGTTATCCAGTATATTGTTAACATGTATATGAATAGGGAATCCAATTATTATTATTATTATTAGTAGTAGTAGTATTGTTATTAGTAGTATCTCTAGTAATAAGTTTCTTTTTCTATCCATGAACCAGGAAATCGTCGAATTAAATATTTTCTTGTTTCATCATAAGCAAAAATCAATATGGAAAATGGTAATGCTGGAAGCCACCATGTATATCTAATAATATAATAAATAAATAAACCAAGTATTATTCATCATCGGATTGTAATTATAATTGAAATGAAATATGATGAGTTTACGAATTCATCTTTCTTATATTGAATGAATTCCATATTTCTACTTATTCTTTGATCAATAATAATCTGATAGATTATGTTCATAGATGATTCTTCTTTGTATAATAGGACTTTTTGATGATACTTCTGTGGTGTGGATTACTTATCTATACAAGTAGTATATAACGATGATCAGGCATAGAATGTATTTCAATAGAAGGTTGATGAGGAAAGAACAAGAACGGAATGGAACGCATTTGGTATGACAATGCATAAACAATGAAATTTGAGACAATGGTTTGATGTTTACAACAGAAACAGTCAAGCTTAATATGATGGATTGATATTTTGCAAATTAAGGATTTACTAAACGGTTCTCAGATTTTAATGAGATACCCGCTCGTGTTCTTGTTCATTACACCACTACTACTACACACACTCTTATTAGTAGAAGCAGTAGTAGTGGTGGTGGTGATAGGAGAAGTTGTAGCTTACATACTTATTCATTAGTTTATTGTTTAAGTTAAAATACATTGAAATACTGGTCTATTAACAATTAAAATATCATTAAGGTTAAACGATTAGGTAATACTATTAATTAGATTACATTCTCTTACAGTTCTCCGGCGAAACTATAATCTATGAACGACCTATGAGAGACGCCACACTAACATTGAGAGTGTTCACTCAATAACTAGGACCAAATAAGGGTTATAAAGCCGTGTGAGGAATTGCAATAATGATTTACCGTTGATGGTTAGGGTTAGGGATTAGATCTATGGTTTCCCATCACGTGCTGACAATAATTATAATGCCAAAACATTCTTTAGCCAAATGGATATGTGAATTTCGCGCTAAAATTCGAGATCTGCTATCTTATACCTGATTAATTCATCCATAAATTATAGTCTCATTCAATTCTCTTTCTTTACATTTCAACACAGGGAAAATATAACATTTATAAATTTAATAGAAATTACCTTAAAGGCATCATACGTAGACCTTTATCTAAACCAGGACAATAAGATAAGAAGATTGCTAATGCAGTTTCAAAGAATAATGCAAAATTTAAATATTTATTCCACATTCCTTGTTGTATTACTGAATTACGACGTGTTTTACAAATAATTAAATCAGCCCATTGTACTATGACAATTGATGCAAAAAATGCAGTTTGACATGTGGACTCTAAACGTTTACGTTGTTTATAAGTCTATAAGAAGAAATGGGGAAAGAGAAAGAGAGAAAGAAAGCGATAAGATGAAATACAAGAAGTACAAATGATTCAATAATATAACTGTTAGGTATCATTACATTCATAAAAACTAGGTGTACCATTCATAGTTCTAATATGTACACGTTTTACACTTTCATAACAGGTAAATATGTTTCCGGCTCTCTTCAATCGATTCGTTGCTGGTTCAAGATATCATGTTGCTATTCAAGATTAAAATTTGGATTGATTGAGGACCGATGAAAAAAACTAAAATTCGTTTACCTTTATTGTTTCGGGAGGCCGACTCATTGGTCTAGAGGTTAAGCTTTCGTGCGCGAGATCAAAAGTCCTGGGTTCGAGTCCTGCGTGTGTAGTCGTGAATGCGCACTGTTTAGTAGTCCCATACTTGGACAAGTCGGCCGTCTAGTACTTCCAGGTTTTCAATGATGGTGTAACACTAATTGATTCATGATCCACAATCTCTTATTGATGAAAGTGTAGCGTAGGGATAAGGCAATCAGAATTAAGTGCGTGAAATTTTATTTCTTGCATAAAATTTTTTTAAAATGGATAGACTTCATATTATATCGTGTAAAGTGACCAGCAGAAATACCATTGTATACCATTGTACCATTGTAAAAATAATAATGTAGATGATGTACAACTCGGAGACCGATTCCATCTCTTCAAATAACAACTCATAGAAGACTTTAATAGATTCGTTGGTGAGACTGTAATTTATGTGCAACCTATGAGCGATGTCAAAGTTACTCTAAAAAATGTCCATCTACTTACTAGTGTTAAATGAGGGTTATTAACTAGTGTGAGGAATTAGATTTGACATTTTTATCACGAACTAACCTAAACTATAATGTCAAAACTTTATTTAACCAAATGGATCAATGAATGTCTCATCAAAATCCAAAACATGTTATCATAAATCTGATTGTTTCGTCCTTAAATTATAGTCTCATCATTCTGTTTTCTGATTGTCTAACAACCGGCTAAGACTTATCTTTGGTAGTCTTCAACTAGGTTTTATACTTTACCCATAGTGGAATTCGGAATATATTTTTTCTGTTAGTTAGATATTAGCATTATTAATCTGTAAGTTAATAAGATAAATGCTTGTTGTTTACTCTAGATTTTAATTCATTCTGCTACATAGTCTCAATAATCTTATTGAACAATCCAGCTGATGAGTCCCAAATAGAACGAATTGCACATTCTGAATTCCACTGCTATCCACTATCCATCTTTCACAATTGATTGATCTCTGGGTGGTGATCAATGTCATGCGTGTCTAGTCCTTATTAGTGCAGATCGAGTGCTATCGATCATGTTGCAATGCGGCCACCACCCAGTGATCAATCAATTGTGATTACATCTCAGTCCTACAGGAGGTCGGTTGTGGCTCGCATGGCTCAGTGGTAACGTCTCTGACTGTGAAGCTGGGTGACACGAGATCAAATCCTCCAGGGAGCACCATATCTCTCAGGATTACAGGTACACCTTGCTGACGAGTGCCAAGTAGCACGAAACCCGGGTCCAGGGTTTTCTGTTGACTACCTCCAATCACCATCTAACTATCCGTCTTTGCTTAGAATGCTTGTGAATTATGGCAATATCAAGGCAATACGCACAGTATGCACATATTCCAATAAAAGAATTGTATGACATATATGTATTCGGTGCCCCTTTTTGTATCAATTGATTGATTGATTGTATGGTACAGTTAAAAGTACATTTTTATTTAGAAACATATCAATTTATAATAAACATAAAAGAATACTATTTACCCATTCTTGACCATATGAATCACTTAATGCATCTACAGCTCGTGAATCCCATTCTTTACGTATACCAACTAATCTACTTGGCCAAAAACCATTTTCAGCCATAATAACAAAATAAACAAAGAAACCACCAAGTGCTTGTATCATTCCAATTTGACCATAAGCCATAGCAATTAAACGTTCATTTACTAAACGATCATGTAATGGATCACGTGGCATACGTTTCATAATATCTGATTCAGCTTCTTCATAAGCTAATGAAATTGCTGGAATCTATGAGAAAAATATTTTTTTAAAAAAAGAACAAATACTGAATTGAATGTTGAATTATGGTTTGATTAATGTTATAACTTGTGAACAGTGTCCCTATCACTGTGTAACGTGATAATACCGCCAATTAGAAACACAGTGATTTATCGACTGGACTAACGATGCCAAAACCCATGTGAGCAGTTTAGAGTCTTTATCGGTTCTTCTACCTGCCCAGCCCTGTCTGCCTGTTCGAATCCAGAACACCAATCTCAACCTCTGCAATATAAATCATGTATTTCAAACATACTGAGTTTGTATACCAGTCAAACAGATCACATCGTACGATAAAATAGGTAACAACATTTGTACAAGATTTAGCCAAAAGTGGCTGTAAATGTTGGAGATTGTAATTGATAGACTGGGCATAACTCAAGAATGGTAAATCGTATAATAACAGTTCATAGTTCGAAGTAGAGCTTATAATAAGAGGAACATGAATGTGCATAGAACAGCTACTTAACAATTATGCAATATAAATATACATATAGTATTTGTTCACAAATAGATCCCAGCAATTACCATTCATTATTCTCATCGGGATATAACAGTTAACTCATTGTATTACTAGGAAACTTTTTTATATTAATTCTACATGGAAATTTTCAAAATGTAGTTCATCAGTTGTTAGGCAATAATTATTGTATAATAGATGAATAGTTAAATGTAATCACATAAAGTAAACTGTAATCTAACCACTTTATATCATTTCCATAATTGTCATAGGGCAATATTATCTATATTAATTTCAATGGTTAAGATCATGAGTCAGCTGAAGCTAGACCACCATGGAAAACCTGAAAGCACTGGACGAATGTTTCGTCGTATTGTGGGACTCCTCAGCAGTGCGCATCCGCAATCTCGCCCCCTGAGAGATCTATAGCTCAGTAGTTAGCGCCCAAATGATATATTGAAAAAGCATATTTTACAATAATACTTTGATTAGACAACTGCTGAAAATAAGATAGCACTGAACAGTTATTTTATTCTAGTAGAGGACTATTAAACAGTACATATCCAGTATTTGACCTTAAGTCGACCTCAGAAACTTCAGGTACCTCAGTGAACACTTGATCTCCAGATAAATAAGTTTTTACCCAACGGTTTATATCCTTAAGTCCAGTGAACTGCTGAAATTGCAAAAGTATCTTTGATTGTCATTCATGATATTTTTTTCGTATTTTTACATAGTTACATTCCATTAATTAAAACTTCTGAGTAGAACACCAAGACTTACCTGTCTAACTTAGTTACTAGCAAGTACGAGATGGTTGTTGCTATCGAGTATTATTGAAATTGTTTGGCTTAAAGTTTCATATCATGAAGTAAATTTAGCTAGAAAAAAGTTGGAACTAATTGTCAGTTAGTGATCTGAGACTTCAAATTTGACTGTTGTAAATAACTACAGATAAATAGTCTTATGCTTAGATGAAACGACTGCATTTTGGTTATCAATGATGATCAATTCGCCACTCTTACAGTATCCATTAAAACCCTATGGTCATTTAAAAAGAATCAATTCTATATTTTCATGAAATAAGAACATTACTTACCATATCAGTACCTAAATCAATACATAGAATTGTAATTGTACCTAATGGTAATGGTAAACCAAATCCAATATACACTAGAAATGGTGTAATCTCTGGTATATTTGATGTTAATGTATATGCAATGGATTTTTTCAAATTATCAAATATAAGACGACCTTCTTCAACTCCTGTAACAATTGAAGCGAAATTATCATCTAATAGGATCATATCCGCTGCTTGTTTACTCACATCACTACCGGCTATACCCATTGCAACACCTTATGAAAGAAAAAAGAAATCCAAAGAAAGAAATAGGGAGTGAGCGATTTTACAAATGTCTTGTTTATTATATTGAATGGAATGTGTTGGCTTAAGATTGAAGTATCTGCAAATTAGATTTTTATGCTAACAGGTAAACTCAATGTGACAATGACACTGCTAATTATTAAGTAATATTAAAGAGGAAGAATGTATTTGAAGTAAATCCAATGTTTCGCTTGGTAATCTTACTTACTTATTCACTTACTTAGACCTGTTACCCGCTAATGAAGCATAGACCACCGACCAACATTCTCCAACTCACTCTGTCCTGGGCATTCCTTTCTAGTTCTATCCAATTCTTGTTCATTCTTCTCATGTGTTCTTTGGTCTTCCACTTCTCCTTTGACCTTAAGGATTTCAAGTGAGGGCTGTCATGTGACGCAGTTGGGTGCTTTCCTCAATATATGTCCTATCCACTTCCAGTGCTTCTTGTTGATTTCTTCCTCTTCTGTAATTTGATTTTTCCTCTCCTACAGTAGGTTTTTGTTGATAGTGTCTGGCCGACAGATTGGAAGTACTTTGCTTCTAGAGCCCGTCGTAGGCTACTGCCGATCTTAAGCCAAGATAAAAGAGGAGGGTTGGACATGGGGTTAGCAACCCCGTCCCGTAGAAAACCAACTCACTAAAATAACGCTAACCAGAAAAAATAATCCCAACCAAATTTGGATAGAACTAGAAAGGAAGGCCCAGGACAGAATAGGTCGGAGAATGCTAGTCGTCGGCCTATACTCCATTTGAGAGTAACAAGCGTAAAAGAGTAAGTAAGTAAGTAAGTAAGTAAGTAAGTAAGTAAGTAAGTAAGTAAGTAAGTAAGTAAGTAAGTAAGTAAGTAAGTAAGTAAGTAAGTAAGTAAGTAAGTAAGTAAGTAAGTAAGTAAGTAAGTAAGTAAGTAAGTAAGTAAGTAAGTAAGTAAGTAAGTAAGTAAGTAAGTAAGTAAGTAAGTAAGTAAGTAAGTAAGTAAGTAAGTAAGTAAGTAAGTAAGTAAGTAAGTAAGTAAGTAAGTAAGTAAGTAAGTAAGTAAGTAAGTAAGTAAGTAAGTAAGTAAGTAAGTAAGTAAGTAAGTAAGTAAGTAAGTAAGTAAGTAAGTAAGTAAGTAAGTAAGTAAGTAAGTAAGTAAGTAAGTAAGTAAGTAAGTAAGTAAGTAAGTAAGTAAGTAAGTAAGTAAGTAAGTAAGTAAGTAAGTAAGTAAGTAAGTAAGTAAGTAAGTAAGTAAGTAAGTAAGTAAGTAAGTAAGTAAGTAAGTAAGTAAGTAAGTAAGTAAGTAAGTAAGTAAGTAAGTAAGTAAGTAAGTAAGTAAGTAAGTAAGTAAGTAAGTAAGTAAGTAAGTAAGTAAGTAAGTAAGTAAGTAAGTAAGTAAGTAAGTAAGTAAGTAAGTAAGTAAGTAAGTAAGTAAGTAAGTAAGTAAGTAAGTAAGTAAGTAAGTAAGTAAGTAAGTAAGTAAGTAAGTAAGTAAGTAAGTAAGTAAGTAAGTAAGTAAGTAAGTAAGTAAGTAAGTAAGTAAGTAAGTAAGTAAGTAAGTAAGTAAGTAAGTAAGTAAGTAAGTAAGTAAGTAAGTAAGTAAGTAAGTAAGTAAGTAAGTAAGTAAGTAAGTAATGTGATCTTGATGATCAAGAAATTTTTGTAGACCATAATAAGACTGTTGAAAAGATTTGCACGCATATTCGTCAATATTTAAACGAATAGGTTGACAGAAGTGGGGTACGGACTAGTGTTAAGAAATCGATAATAATTCAAACAGGATAATCAAGGCTGAATTCATAATTTTCTAAATTTATCTTCAAAGTTTCCAAAAAAAACATGGATTTATCAAAGTATTTTTAGTAATCTCTTGACTTTTGAAGACTTTCTCTGTGGTGCATTCGGCGAAACCTCAATTTATGAACAAAACAATGAAATCATCCGTATAGATTTGTGGAGATTAATAAGTTTTTTAGTTGAGAATCAATTAGATGTTAGATCATCATGGAAAACCTAAAAGTACTGGATGGCCGTTTCGTCCTATTGTGGGACTCCTCAGTAGTGCGCATACACGATCCCGCCTGAGGGATTCAAACACAGGACCTATCGTTTTTGCGCACGAACGCTTAATTTTTAAATCACTGAGCCTGCATCCAACAATGTTGATGTCTAACCTCAACTAATCCACAAAATTACGCGACCATCTTCTATTGTACTGAGTTAGATACCTGTCTTTACCCGATGTTAACAACTCTTGAATTTTGGCACGAAATTCATTAATTCACATTTTGATATTAGAATTAATATCCATTCATGATGAATACCTCAATTCTAATGCTTAATTCTAAAGTCTAACTCTAAATCTTAATCTTAATTTCTTTATACCAATTTATATGTATCTTTTGATCTTAATAAATAAATAAATTAGCTGTCGTAACATCAATGTGCTTAAAACCAGTGCCTTCCTTTGACCACTCACCCACTCCATCGACTTAACATCACTGTTATGTCATTTAATTACCGTCCATAAATTATGTTCATCATTAGTTACTAAGAAAGAGAGATAACATATTAGTATACGTGCCATATATTAATTGATGTTTAGTAAGATTAAGTATTATCATATAAAGTACTATTGACAACAACAACAACAACAACAACAGTAACCACAACGACAACTGCAACAATATTAATCACCTACTTGTATGTATTAGAGTTAATTAGCTATTGATCACATGTTTTGTATTATGTATTAATTATCATTAATAAAATAAACAAACTCTTGTTTAGATAAAGTTTTAAGTTATTTTGTTTTCAACTTATACTACTTTAAATAAACAAATATTTAACTGATTGAAATCATGAGTCAATTGAAGCTAGACTACCATGGAAAACCTGAAAGCACTGGAAGTTCGACATCAACACCATTGGATGCCGGCTTAGTGTTCTAGTTGGTCAAGCGCTTGGCGCGAGACTAATAGGTTCTGGGTTCGGATTTCGCAGAGTGCGGGATCGTGGATGTGCACTGCTGAGGAGTCCCATACTAGGACGAAGCGGCCGTCCAGTGCTTCTAGGTTTTCCATGGTGGTCTAGCTTCAATTGACCGATGATTCCAATCAGTGACATTTCTAAAATCTCCACAAAAACCCTTCTGATAAATATTTAGCTATCTATATTCTTAAATATGAATATATATTTTCATGGTTGTTTGAAGTTTCTTAGGGAGGAATTCAAACATAGATCTTATTTATGCCTGTTACTCCTTGTCGAAAAGTATAGGCGCCGCCCGTCAACACTCTACATACAACCTTGTCATGGGAAATCTTTCCCAGTTTTTATTCATCTTTTTTATATCTGCTTCTATTTCCTGACATAATGTGTTCTTTGGCCTTCCTCTTCTTCGTTTCCCTTCAAGGTTGCAAATTAGAGCTTGATTCATGATGTAGTTTGATGATTTCCTCAACGTATGTCCTATCCATTTCCATCGTCTTTTCTTAATTTCCCCTTCAGCTGGAAGCTGATTTGTTCTCTCCCACAGAAGGCCATTGTTGATGGTATCCGACCAATGGATGTTGAGTATCTTATGTAGACAACCATTTATAAATACTTGTACCTTCTTAGTGATGGTTGTAGTAACTCTCCACATTTCATTTCCATATAGTAGGACTGTCTTGACATTCGTATTGGAGATTCTCACTTTCATATTGGTTGAAAGTTGTTTTGAGTCCCATATGCTCTTGAATTGTAGGAATGTGGCTCTTGCTTTGAAATCCTCGTCTTCATATCTGCATCAGATCCTCCTTGTTCATCGATGATGCCTTCCAGGAAGGTGATAAACTAAACATCTTTCAGAGTTTGTTTATCAAGTGTGGTCGAGCTGGTGTTCTTCGTATTGTATTTGAGTATCTTGCTTTTTCTTTTGTGTATACTAAGGTCTACTGATGCAGAGGCCTTAGTTTTTTAAAATTATATTTATCGTGAATAGATTGAGCTCAAGAGGTTTAGTAGATTTGGCTTCAATTTGTTGGTAGTACTTTTTTAATGATTAGTCTCAGTTAACATGTTAATGCTTATCGGAAGACACTGGATAGCTCTCCGTAATAGTATGGGACTACTCAGCAGCATGCACAAGTAGCTTCACCAGGTATCGAATCTAGGAACTTCAGATCTTGCATTGAATGCCTAACCAACAGAACAAGTGATTTAGCATCCAAAAATCAGTTTGCAATATAACAAGATAATCATCTAGTCCTATTGTTGCGATCTATTTGATTGCCAATATGCGTGAATTCCATTAGTCATGAGTCCTGACTTGAACTTCAGGAAAATCTTGAAGTAATTCATTAGTGAGCTAACCAGTTTTTATTCAGGGTTATATGGAGGTCGATTTAAATGATAAGTAGTTTATTGTCACAGATTGATTTTAAATAATATACTATTTAATACCAGGGAGTACTGGACTCTAGTACTGGACTCCTCACACTAATGAATACTTCTGCGTTAGCATTAAAAATATTCAGGTCTCGTCGTTAACACTTACATGTTAGAATCGTTGAGTCAGAATTCAATGGCATAAGACTACATTCAATTAACTAACGATATGTAGTAACGATTATTTCATCGAATAGTAATAGTTATTTCATTCCCAACATGCCTGTACTCTAATGGTTATGACTTTACTTTAGAACTAAAGGAATTCCTAAACATTAATCAGAAGTAGATCATTATAGTTTAGTTGGATGAGTATTGTAGAGATTGGGTTGAAAGTTGTTCAGTCCTATCTGGTCAGTCAGTCAGTCAACCAGTCAACTACAATGTAGGACCAGGCACATATATGGTACCTCAAGAGAAATCAATTTGTGGCCAGTGAACAATATAAATCTAAAAATCTATGCCATTCACTGAAGCACTTCATCCAAATGTCATAACATTCAATCATAGCAGAACTGATGATAGTAATGATCCCTATACAAACAATAACAAAAGTAACACTTTTTTACTATTCCGTGATCACCTAATGTAAACATCTCAATCTCAAATTATATCAGCCATAATTTGAATAAATGAGTAATGAAGTGAAAATAAGCCTTGTTATTAAGTGCTATCTAATGTAAAATGTACGTTCAAGGTTTCACATCAATAGCCTTGTGCCACACAACTCATAACAAAAATAATAATAATAATAACTGTTATTATTGTTACTACCATTATTATTACTATCATTGATGCAGTTTACATAACCGACATTCCCAAAGATAAACTGTCAGGGTAATGCTCTTTATCATTTTATTTTGTCACTCATTATAATTGATTTCGACATTACTATCTCTTCATTGGGTTGTCATTTGTAAGTGTATTTATTGTTGTGTTTATAGCTACAATAGGTTTTTATCCATCCCATCTATTTATCGGTTTGATGTTTTATAAAATTACTGAAATATATGGTTCTGAACTGAACTCGGTGCAGCGTAACTTTTGAGCTATTGAACGACATAATTTCATCTGTTCAGTTTCAGAGGTGAACAAAGAAACTAACTTCTTTACTTTATTGATTAAATACTTGACTAGCATAAAATTTTGATTGATAACTGTATAAAACGTTAACTGAAACGCTGTTCAGCAGTTTTATTCTAAATTAAACCTACTTAATAATCACGTGCGAACGCTTAACCTGTAGACTACTGGGCCAGTATACAGCAGTGTTAATGTCTAACTTCAGCCAATCTGCAATATTACGCAACCGTCACCATTGTCTTCAGTAGGTAACTGCTTCGCAACAAACGCGCTTAAACTCTATTAGCCACGGTTTCTCACTAGAACTCCAAAAAATCCTTCTTGAAGCTAGTCACTAGTGAGTACATGATAATAATCGGTATATGGTTGTAGATAGTGTTGAGTTTAGATTGGTATCATGAATGAATCAATGTTATATCGGCACCGAAAACCTGGAAGCACTGGATGGCCGTTTCTTTCGAGTATGAAATTCCCCAGGACGAAACGACATTTCGGTGCTTCCAAGTTTTCAATGGTGATGTAACATTGATCCATTTATGATACCAATTTAAACGCAACAGTTTTCATAACCCAATACTGATTAATGACTGACTATACTGAATAATCTGCATCCACGATCCTTCAAGCAAGACTCAAACCCAGGACCTTTGCTTTCACGCACTGAGGAGTCCTACACTGTGACGAAACGTTCATCCAGTACTTTGAGATTTTCGGTGGTGGTCTAACATTGATCGATTCATGATCTCAATCAAATAGTTAACAATCTCCACAACTCCATACTGATAGTTTGCTAATTCACTTTCACTTACCAATATCAGCTTGTTTTAAGGCTGGACTATCATTTACACCATCACCGGTTACAGCAACAATTGCTCCTTGACGTTGACAACCTTCTACTATAATTAATTTTTGCTGTGGACTAGTACGTGCAAATACAATTTCTGGATGATTAACTAATATATCATCAATTTGTGCTGGAGTCATTTCACGTAAATCAGAACCATGTACTACACAAGCAACGGCTTCACGTGGATTCACCTACAAAATTAAAATTAAAAATAAAAGTATGCACAAAAGACAAGAAACTTTAGGTAAATTAATAATAAACGACTAAGGAAACGAGTGAGTTCTGTTATGATCTAAAGTGACTTGAAAAATTATTGATGATCAGAGAGTATAAAATAGATGGTTTACTTCATGTCCGTCAACGTGTGATTAAATCTGAATATTATCTTATGTGAACAATTGATTTATTTCGTAATTTATAAGTCTATCATCACATAAGATGATTGATCTGAGAATTTGAGGTTTGATCACGCATTTAATCATAAGTGTTTATGCTGTTTAGAAAATACACCTATTCAAGGCTATCAGTGACTTTTCAGTTTATACTGGTTTATTTCTCAATCATATTGTTTACAAAAGAATATTGCATAGATAACTAAAAAAGAATAACCGTTTCCCATTAGTGTTTTGTTCAACAACTTAACGTCATTATAAATCGCGTTTTTTGTGTAAATATGATTAATCTTGTTAAATAGGTCCCTTATCAAACTTAATTTGTATTGCGCTGGATAGTAACTATAATAACTGTGGTGCTGACATGTCTAAGTTGGCTTTCTAAAAATGGATCATTTGATTCGACCGTCTTCATATCTACTTATAAGTATATCTAATAAAGGAACCTGGTAGTTCTTCTTCTCTTCACATGAAATTCCGGTGAGGTTTTGAAAAGCCTTAGCACAAAGAAGCCTGTCTACATCATCTTAGTGTTCAGAGATAATTCAAATAACCTTTTACTGAAACAAAGACTGAAATCAGTTTTTTTAATGTTCCACCAAAGTACCCTAGCATGAATAGTGAATTCAAATAGGTTTGAGCCACACGTGCGAGGTCGTGGATGCACACTGTTGAAAAGTCCCATACTAGGATGAAACAACTATCCATTACTTCCAGTTTTCCATGGTAAAGTAACACTTATCCATTCATGATATTAATCTGAACTTAACAATCTCCACAATCCTATACTGAAAAGTAGATTAAAATATATTCATAATCATATGGTGTTAGGACAGCAAAATTTATCGTCTTAGAGATTGATGTTGATCGTGTAAAATATCACTAATTATCTGAAATTGGAAATATGAACCAGTGACTACCAACTAACTGATTGTACAATCAAGTCATCGCTACATGACTGGTGGACCGTTTCACTTATCTTGGAAGTCTCATCAGCCCTTGTGGTCTGGTGTGTGACAAAATCTCAGCACGGATACAGAAGGCTCGACTAGCTTTTGCTAACTTGCGTCATTTATGGCGTAGGCGAGATATCCGTCTATCAACCAAAGGACGTGTTTACTGCGCAGCAGTTCGTTCCGTCCTGCTTTATGGTAGTGAAACATGGCCGGTAAGAGTAGAGGATATTCGTAGGTTACTAGTATTCGATCATAGGTGTCTTCGAAATATTGCTCGTATATCATGGGACCATCGAGTAAGTAATGCAGTTGTTAGGAAACGGGTACTAGGTAAGGAAGGCAAATCGATTGATGAAGTGGAGAAACTTCATTAGTTGAGATGGCTGGGACACGTGTTACGTATGCTCAACGACCGACTGCCTCGACGTGCGATGTTCAGTGGTATAGGAATAGGTTGGAAGAAAGCTAGGGGTGGCCAGACCAAAACATGGCACAAGTCCATGAAGTCAGTGACAAGTGGTCTGAGTCATGTTGGTAGGTGTAGACTACCTGGTTGGGGACCGCGAGATGATAGCAACCGATGGTTAGAGACCTTGAATGACATGGCTGAAAATCGTTTGCAATGGCGCAAGTGCATCCACTATTTGTGTTATCCCAAATTCTAATCTTCTGAACTCTTCATATCCTTTATTTTCTTTCCAAATTTATTTCACTGAATTATACTCTTTGAATAGCATCAAGCTCTAATGTCTCCGATTACTGCTTATACTCTTATTACCTCTACAACAGTGGGATTTGAATCGACAACTGCATCTGTGTGAGAATGTTGTATGGCAACTTGAACTGATGTACGTACGTACGAAGTTCTACGTTGTTACTGACTAACTGACATGACTTAAATATAATGAGTTCAACCTTTAGCAAAATGTGTATGGTTATGTGAGGATGTTATTAAACGTTTCACAAAAGGGATTACGTAATTGTTTTTAAATTAAAAAAGTGAGTACTTGTGTAATTTTTGTTTACTTAATTAAATCTATTCCACTTGTAAACAAACTCCAACATATGTTAAACAATATAAAAATGAATTAAATATGTCAATCTTAATTAACAATGGAAATACAAAAACACAACAACAACAAACGATTACGTAATCATTCATTCATAACTATTTACAGTAGTGAATGAATTCATAAATAAAGTTATTTAATTTATTTGATTGAGATCATGAACCGATTGATGTTAGACCACTATTGAAAACCTGCAAGCACTGGACAGCCGTTTCGTCCTATTGTGGGACTCTTCAGCAGTGCGCATCCACGATTCCGCTCGCGGGATTCGAACCCAGGGCCTTCGGTTTCGCGCGCCAACGCTTAACCTACTGGACCACTGAGCCGGCATTCAATGGTGATAGTGTCTAACATCAACCAACCAGGTTTCCAAAGGTGGTCTAACATCAATCGGTTCATGATCTCAATCAAAAACTTAATAATCTCCACAACCCCTATAATAGTTACATAATTTATTTTATAAAAAATGAAACTAAATGACTGACTGATAATTTTTATTGAAACTATCTAAACTGTAATTTTGTCCTTTGCAGACATCCTCGATATTGTCTTAAGTCACAAGCTTTGTAAGTAAAGATGAATGATGGCTGGCAGTGGAATTCGGGACACACGTTTCGTCTTATTTAAGACTCGTCAACTGAATGTACTCACATCTTAGAGTTGATGATTATTTGGAGACTCTAACCCAACACAGTTTGCTTCAAATGCCATCGCTCTGGATTCAAGTCCAGCAGTGAATATCAACTTTGGGATGCAGGTACATTCTACTGATAATTGATTGTTGTTAATAGATAACAAACTAAGACTTAAATGTGTATCGACTCAAGTGGTCACAATTCATGTCGTCGTATCAATAGAAAAAATCAACAGAATGAAAAAAATAGATAATGAGAGATAAAATCAGATAAAAGTGGAAATGTAAATGAAAACAATCGTCCGGTCGTCAGTAACGTAAATCCTTGAATCGTATATGGATTAGTTCTAGTGGACACATTGAATTATCACATTGGGGTAGAATTATTAAAAGAAATTTCATTGTAGAATTAGTAATGGTATCAATGATAGTGAAAATGTTTAGGTACAGAATGATAAAAATGTGTCTAAGAAGACTTCGGGATTCACGATCTGAGGAAAAGCAATGAGCGAATACACAACCATCCGAAGTCTAAAACTATTGGTTATAATAATCATACTGAATACTGTCAGGTAATCTACACTTACATACGTGTGAACAATAGTATGGGATTGCTCAAGAGCACATTAAGAGAATAATGGTGATTAGACTTGTGAATAAGTGATTAGAACTTAACCGTTTAACTTATTAAACTGGAGGTGTAACACATCATAGACGGTATGACTCGAGGAGAAAGAATGAATTCATTGAATAGAAGGCATAATATAATTTAAAAATTCAAGATCTATGGGAAGACAAGGGGTAAAGTAATCTGCTGCATTGTGAACAACTCTGAGTTTTATCATACAGTGTACTCAACCATCGTCTTTGATAATCGTACGGACCTGATACACATAGTCTGTAGATATCAGCATGGCTCAATCCAACAACTAATAACTTCCAACCGTCATTTTACCTTGCTAAAATCACAATAAATTTAAACTAAAGATCCTATAACACAATAGAAGACCTCAATCAATAATCAGTGGATTTATGGTTCATTGCTGTGTCTGGTTCTGAACATATAATGGCTTTTATTATGTTACTTCCATTTTAGTCTAACATTTGATCTTTTGAAAGATTTAGTAATTTAAAACACATATAATACACATCTGAATAGTTTAAACAAGAACAATTTCAAAACATCTTCGATCAACTTGGCTTCTGTTTGTAAAAACTCTTAAGCATTATTTTTACTACTCTTCTTTGTGGCATGATCCCAAACAATGTAGAATAATGAATGTTTACTATTTAGAAAATATTTGTCCACATGAATTTACTTGTTCAACAGGTATGCCTTTTTCAGCTGCAATATCCTCGACAGTTTTTGAACCTTTCGAAATTATTCCAACACCTTTAGCAATAGCTTTAGCTGTGATTGGATGATCCCCAGTGACCATAATCACTTTAATCCCGGCAGATCGACATTTTGCAACTGCGTCTGGTACTGCTGCACGAGGTGGATCGATCATAGACATTAGACCAACAAAACGTAATCCACTAACTGGAAAATTTGGTTCTTCTTCATTGAATTTAAAATTCCTAAATAAAGTGATCAGCTTCAAAGTGTGAGCATAATTATATAATGACCAAATTAATAGATACAAACTATGAAATTGCGAAAATTCTCATAAACCTCATTAAAGTAGTGATGATCATATGATCACTGGTGATCAACTTCGAGAGTTGACAGTCAGACTTCTAATAAGAAGCCGATATTAGTGAAGTTTACTCATGTCGGGTGTGAGGCAGTTGGAAAGTGGTTGTTCAATATCGTGAATCGATTATAATTAAAACAATAGATCAATAGATGCTAACTCAGTGGTTTAAGTCTGATTTACTCAATATGACATCTCAAAGGTACTGAGTTTTCCAAAGCGTTCCTGGATAGCTATTGTTAAGGGAGTCCCATCCAATGTTTCCTATTTTTCAACGGTTCACTAGCTCAGGTCATCCTTTATTATAAACTATGAAACAAATCTATAATTTACAATCTTAAAAGCTTTCAAAAACATCTATTCAATAACAAATGAATAAATATTACAACACCTTAACTCCAATTATATGACAGTTTAGTTAGAGTTTCTCTACATTTTCATCAGTGTCAGTAGAGTAATAAGTCAAACAATTGTTTAATCATACTAAGATGATGAATATAGTTTTTAAAATCAAATTTATTATCGTCCATAGAATATTAGCTGAAAAGAGATGTAAGATTAACAGATTAATATTTTAATTGAGATCATAAACCGATCAATGATAGAATATTATTGAAAATCTAGAAGTACTCGACTGCTGGTTTGTCCTAGTATGAGACTCCGCAGCAGTGCACATTGATCAGTTTACGATCTTAATTAAAACTCAACAATCTCTTTAACCGTATATGGATAAAAATATACTCGTAAGCTACTAGTATTTGACCACAGATATCCTAGAAATATTGCCAGCACCTGTTGGGATCAATGGGTAAGTAATAGTGAGGTTAGATGCAGGGTATTAGGGAATGATGATGGTAAATCAGTTGATGAGGTTGTGAATCTTCCTCGAACGAGATGGTTGGGTCACATATTTCGAAAGCTTGACCACCGGTTACCGCGGTGCACAATTCTGACTAGTGTTGGAGATGATTGGAAGAAAGTTAGTGGCGGCCAAACAAAAACGTAGCATCAGTGCTTAGCGTCACTAAATTCTGGTGTAAGCCATGTTGGTAGATGCAGACTAGTTGGTTGGGGTCCGCGTGGCTATCGTAACCAATGGTTGGAGAGTGTGGGTGACATGTCTCAGAATAGATCACAATGGCTTGAGCGTGTGTACACACTCTTTGTCTTCCCTTAAACTGTGAGATTAAAATTCTTTTATACCTTTCTTTCTACCAACTAATTCTTTCTTCCTGTACTATATCATTATATACAATCTTTATTACTATTATTGAAGTAACTAGTTCTATGACTTTGATGTTCATGTTAGACAGATGCATATATGTGCCTGGTCTTACTTTGTAGCTGACTGACTGACTGGATTAATATTTATTTAATATCTTAACATGATTAGACATTTATTTCACATACATAGTTCCTTCAAGAATTTGTCAATATTCGGTAGCTTCCATATATTTTTTCTTATAAAAGCTGTAATTAGATTGACGATTCAAACAAAAGAATTAAGTTTAATTCCTTTTGACAAGATTTTTTTGATAAGAATAAATTGCTTCTAAAATTCAGAATAGGTGGTTTGAGGTCAGCAGTGCATACCAGAACACCATATTGGATCTTATATGGGACTCATCATTTGATTGATGTTAACATTTTGTTTTAGGTACACGTAGATGATAAGTATTATATTTCACTCGAAGCTATAATCCATCTACTCACATGATTTGTGACAAAGCGGCTATATCGAGACAATCTACATTAGATGTACGTATACTGAAAGAAACTGACCTATACTCAGTATTAAGTATCAATGACAACATATATGAAAGCCTTACTGATAATGATATACTCCTTTCGTAATGCTCATTTCAAGACTGAAATGTAGGTATGAATAGCAGAATGATAGCATCACCGACTACAGTGATGAATGATACAGTTATGAATTCTGCGGCAAGTCATTACGTTGATGGATGGAGGTATTGCCTTACTGATGTGTGATGACAAACACAAAGTTAAGATACCTGTCTACTATCTCCCGGAGGTCTATTTATTTGAATCAGTGATACAATTGCTAGGTGGAGAAACAGAACTTACCCACCACTTAACATTAGACAATATTGTAAAAGCAGTTTCCCAATGTAATTCATTTGTTCAATTTAGATTATTTTATTTAACCCTAAACAATACAGTCTTTGTAAGGGCTGATGATAACATCCAATCGATTTTGAAACAAACATTTCTCCTTTGTAAAAATTCCACTTTATATTAAAACTAATAAGCCAACACAAGTCATTGGAGACTATATAAACTGTTTATTTAACCGGCTACAATCTAAAAAATTAGCTCAATATTCATATTATCATTACTCACTTTGGATAAGTTTCAGCTGGTAGACGATAATCACAGAATCCAAGTACTCGTTCACCCATTCCACCTAATTTCATGTAGGATTTATTGAATCGTTCACGCATTTCATCATTTAGAGGTTTTTCTTTACCATTAAGTAGAATAGTACTACAACGGTCAATAATACGTTCAGGTGCACCTTTCATAACCAGCAAGTAACGTTCATCCTTGTCGTCAGTTTCATGAATTGACAACTAAATATGAAGTTATGATGATTAGAAAATAGATTTATCCAATAAAACAGTAAGAAATTAAACTATAAAGCTTTTATATTGTTCATCCAGTAAGTACTAGAACAATAAATGTAAGAAAACGTACTATAGATTTTAAAGTAAAGGAATACTACCCACTTGTGACAATTCTCCTATAGTGAATGAGAACAAAATTGGGGACAACCAAATGTATTCAAATACAAAATTATAAAATTTCTTAGTAAAATCTGAAAACCATACAGTAGATACTTCATTTGGTCCCAAACTTATTCCATCATTTCCATTTCAATCACTCTTTGTTCTCGTTCTCTTCTCTTTAATCATACCAACCTTCTGCTTCCAGACATTCCACTTATATCTGTCGATATCATTAGTGTACACCACACTTCTATCTTTATTCTGCTTCCGATGTTTATAATAGTCTTGGAAGTACTTCGTAGGAACAAATGATCTCTACCATGGAAAGCAAACGAATATTTCTCATTACCATAGTTAAGAATGTTAGAGTTTATTTATTGGCTTTATGATTGACCTCTGACAAGAGTAAAGTATTTACATTAATCCCATACCGAATAATAAACAATGTTAAGATAGAATTAATACTTTGTCAATTGCAAGTGTAAAGCTTCTTACTTATAACTTACAGTTATTTACACTTTAAATCTAATGGATATGATATGCATTAATTTAGACCACTTGACATAATTCTACTAAAAAAGGAGAGTTCAGCACAAATTGTTTTCTGTACAACTTGTATTTTATTCAAAGTTATCTATAAGAAACCCCTAAATGCCCGAGAATGGGTAGAGTCAACTCTCCCTCTCCAAATGCTCTCACATGTCCACGTGCATACAACCACTGTCAGAGTATTACAACTCTCTACCTTTTCGAATCATGTGCGTTGTTTAAGAAATTGAGAGAATGAAATGTGAATGTCCGGCGCTTTAAACGGATTGGTGGAGACAGAGAGTCCACCTAGGAAAGTCGGTAAACCCTCATTCCAAAACAATGGTGCACATGGGCTACAGGAACCTGAATAAACAAATGGCGTATGAACTAATCATTGGACACCGGCAACCATATGACTACATCTCCTAACATTGCTCCATTGCCTTATGGATTGGACTTTTAGGTCGAAGGCTTAGGGTGTGGCCTCCTAAGAAAACCATTTGCATCGGTTTGAGCACCCGTGTAGTATCACAGCCCAGACACAAATCAAGTGACTTGTGTGGCACAGGTACATTCGATGCTTCTTTTGTACCAATATTTCTATGTTCAGATAATAATAATAATAATAATACTTCAAATGTATCAAACAAAAAAGAAAAAAATTGCTTACTTGATATTTATTTGTAGAATTAAATGGAATTTCCAAAATTTTACGATTTTTAGCTCTATATTCAATAACTTTACCAACACATAATTCAGTACATTTTAATATAGCTGTCTCTGAAGCATCACCATTACATTCACGTTTTAAAACTGGTTTATTTTCTTCACCAGTTTTAAATTCAGCACGATTACATAACATTGCAATACGTGCTAAAGCTGTCCATGTTGGTGAACTTTTATTAAAACGTGCACCTATAAATGACAAAAATTAAAGATGAATTTAATTTCATTTGCAAAACGTTTTCAAGTTATTCCATGATTGAGATCTTTGACTAAGCTTTGATTAATCTTGGTTAACATATGGTAATCCTATAAGGAATGGTCTCGATTTAGTTATTTTGTCAAATACTTGATGAACTGTGACTAGCAATGTAATCAAGAATGTGTGTGAGCGAACGTCTCCTCCTGGTGAAGAGACCCAAATAGAATGTAAAGCATCTCATGAACTCCACTGCTTGTCACAATCTATCTCTTTTTTCTGAATGGGGGTTAATACTTTGATTGTTTTAACTGGATATAAGTTATACACATTTTCAGTCAAGTAAATTCTTTCTAGTCGGAAGGTATTCTATGAATTTCAGATAAATTTGGAGGGTTTTTGAAGATTATTTAATTTTTTTTCATTTATACATAATCTAATTGGATGCTGATCCATTGATCTGAAGACAAAGCAGTGATGATGAGACCGAAATGTTTTGGGTTCAGTCCTTAGGTGAGTTTGATAATGCTTATAGTCCCTGCCAGGGAGGTCCTACTCACCGCCTTCTCGTGGCAGGGGTGTTGTTTACAAAAATTGGAGGACGAAAAGCGAATTCCGGCACTTTAACCGGATTCCAAACTAATGGTGCACATGGGCTCCAGTATCCTAATGGAACAAATGGCGTATGAACAAATTTCTTGGTCACCGGCTTCCATGGGACTGCATCTCTTTACGATGCTCCACTACCTTGTGGGTCGAACCTTCAAGTCGAAGGCTCGGGGAGTGACCCCTAAGAAAACCACTTGCATCGGTCTGGGCACCCGGGCAGTATCACAGCCCTCACACATATCAAATGAGATCTCTGTGGCGCATATGTATTTGGTGCCTCCTTGTACCAATATCTATGTGTTAAAATAAATAAATAAATAAGTTGTTAATGCTTGCTTGCTGAAATATAGAGTATTACCATGAAAAACCTGTCCAGTGCTTTCTCGTTCTTAACAGTTGTTCAACTAAGATCAGTCAGTGAAATTGAAATGTTAGAAACGTTAAATAAAAAAACGGAGGGAAGGAGGGTGGTAGGCAATGTAATATTACCTGTTTGATTCTCTGTAGTATCCGCATCAAATATTTTATTGTCAAACCACATATGTGCTACAGTCATACGATTTTGTGTTAATGTACCAGTTTTATCTGAACAAATGGTACTTGTTGATCCAAGTGTTTCAACAGCTTCTAAATTTTTCACTAAACAATTTTTACTAGCCATACGTTTAGCAGTTAATGTTAAACATACCTAAAAGGTAAGATAATAATGAATTTTGTATATTATATATTGATTAGTATCTATAAGGGAATGATTCGATGACAAATGTGTTATAGTCTATAAAGAACTAAAGGTTAAAACTGTTGATTTTATCGGAAAATGCTCAAAACATTTGACTTATAGGCATATGTTCAGCCTATTTTGAATAAAAGTATACTAGTAAGGAATAATTGTTATAAATTTCACAGATTGAAATCATGAGTCAACTGAAGTTAGACCACCATGGAAAACCTGGAAGCATTGGACGGCCGTTTCGCCCTCAGCAGTGCGCATACCCGATCCCGCACCCCGCAAGATTCTAACCCAGGACCTATCAGTCTCGCGCCAGGCGCTTAATCAACTAGACCCCCGAGCCTGCATCCAATGGTGTTAATGTCTAACTTCAAACAATCCACGGAGTCGCGCCACCGTATACCATTGTAGATGCGCACTGCTGAGGAGTCTCATACTAGGACAAAACGGTCGTCCAATGCTTCCAGGTTTTCCATGGTGGTCTAACTTCAATTTACTCATGAGTTCAATGTGTGAAATTTCTAAAATCTCCACAAACCCCTTTTGATAATAATTCTTATAGTTAAGAATACTGCACAAGCATCTACATGAAAGTTCTTATCACTTCTTGGCATAATTCAAACCAGTAGTTAATGATTTCATAGATTGATAACATGCTTTCAACTGATTACCCCTTAAGGTTTTTCAATCAACTCCTATGTCAGCTAGTTTGACTAAGATATGACAATATTTAATCAAGTGAATAATTGTTAGTATGAGCCTTTCAGGAAAGTGAAGAGGATCAAATTGAAATTTGTAGTATCTTTGTAACTTATTGCTGGAAAACTTTAGTGGCATATATTTCAAATGTGATCTATTGTTCATTTTGCTTTAATGAATAATATTCTGTGAGGCGATAGCAACTGATGATTAGAGACCTTGAATGACATGACTCAAAATCGTTTGCAATGGCGAAGGTGCATACACTCTTTGTGTTCTCCCAAATTATAATCTTCTGAATTGTTCGCGTACCGTTTTTCTCTTTCCAAATTTATTTCACTGAATTATACTCTTTGAATAACATCAAGCCCTAATGTTTCCGATTACTGCTTATACTCTTATTACCTCTACCACAGTGGGATTTAAATCGACAATTGCATCTGTGTGAGAATGTTGTATGGCAACTTGAACTGATGTACGTACGTACAAAGTTATGTGTTGTTGCTAACTGACTGACATAAATTGTTGCGGTTAAAAGTTATCGATTAATGAGGGAAATATGATCTCTAGTAATAAGGTACTTTAGGAAGATAGTTGAATCATGTAGGTTTCATTACTAAGTGATCTTAGTTAAATGACCATTAAAAACAGAAATCAATAAAAACACTGTTTGTTCTTTTATGAGACTTATTAGCATTGAACACAGATAACCCCTATAGGTAGTTAAACCCAGAACCAAGAGTTCATCATTGTCGATTATGAGGCGGCAACTTGCCAATCTAATTAAAAGATAGTTTTCGGCCATAACACGGCTTTCACCATGAAGCGTCATAATTCTTCTAAATAAAGACCTTCTCGCTCCCAGGGCAGAGTTAAAATGGCTTGAATTATTTTTTCTGGTAAGCGTTTTTTAGCGAGTTAGTTTTCTACGGGATGGGGACGCTAACCCCATGCCTAACCCTCCTCCTTTACCCGGGCTTGGGACCGGCAGTAACTCTAGAAGAGCTACAGGCATACACACGAACAGATTCAGACAAAAACAGCCAGTGTAGCAGCAGTCTCTGTATCAGTAGGCCTCATCATACACAAAGGGAAAACCAAGGTCCTCAAATTCAAAGCGGAGAACGGCAATCCAATCACTCTTGATGGCAAAACTCTGGAAGATGTAGAATCCTACACATACTTGGGAAGCATCATCGATTAACAAGGAGGCTCAGATGCAGATGTGAAGGCAAGGATTAGCAAAGCAAGGGTCGCATTCCTACAGTTGAAGAACATATGGAACTCAAAACAACTTTCAACCAATATCAAAGTCACAATCTTCAATATGAACGTCAAGGCAGTTCTACTGTACGGAGCTGAAAGTTGGAGAACTACTACAACCATCAAGAAGGTGAAAGTAGTTATAAATAGTTGTCTATGCGAAATATGCAATGTCCGTTGACTGGATAGCATCAGCAACAGCCTTCTCTGGGACAGAACAAACCAGCTTCCAGCTGAAGAAGAAATTAGGAAAAGATGATGGAAATGGATAGGACATACACTACGCAAATCGTCAAACTGCATCACGAGACAGGCACTAACTTGGAATCGTGAAATGAATGGGAAAAGAGAAAGGCCAAATAACACATTACGTCGGGAAATAGAAACAGATATGAAAAGGATGAATAGGAACAGGAAGGAGCTGGAAAGTATTGCCCAGGACAGGGTTGAATGGGGAATGCTGGTGACCCGCCTATGTTCCTTCACTAGGAGTAACAGGTGTAAGTAAGTAATTAAGTAAGTAAGTAAGTAAGTTTCGGCCATAACAAATTGACTGAATTTAAACACATAAACAATTGGATTTAAGCTCAGTGGTCTAAATCTTAAGCTGTCGTCGCAAAGTATTCAAGTCCTGAGTTCAGATGTGAATGTCCACTGTTGAATTACTTACTTACTTTCGCCTCTTACTCCCAATAGAGCATAGGCCGCCGAACAGCATTCTCTAACCCATTCTGTCCTAAGACTTCCTTCACGATCCTATCCAATTCCTGTTCATTCTTCTAATGTCTGTCTCCATTTCTCGGCGTAATATGTTTTTTGGTCTTGTTCTTTGCACTTGACGATTCCATGTGATGAGTGCTTGCGTTGTGACGCAGTTGGGTGCTTTCCTCAATATGTGTCCTATACATTTCCAGCGCTTCTTCCTGATTTCTTCCTCCAATTGAATCTGGTTTGTTCTCTCCCACAGTAGGCTGTTGCCGATAATGTCTTGCTAACCGATCCGAAATATTTTGCGTCGACAACTGTTAATAAACACTTGTATGTTCTGGATGATGACTTTCGTAGTTCTGCAAGATTTCGCCCCATACAGTAGATCTGTCTTGATATTTGTATTGAAGATTTTGACCTTCGTGTTAGTTGACAGACAGTTGTTTTGATGTCCAGATTTTCCTCAATTGTAGATATGCTTTGCCGATACATAACTTCACATCTGCATCAGATCAACCGTGTTCATCAATGATGCTGCCCAGATATGTAAAAGTTTTTACATCTTCCAAATCTTCTCCGTCAAGTGTAATTCCATTGACGCACACTACTTTGTATCGGAGAAACCCACTGTTGAAGAGTCCCATAAGTGAATAAAACAACTATTCCTTACTTCCTAGTATTGATTTGTTCTCTACTATAACCTAAGATCTTCAACGTTTTAATTCAGAAATGGTAATAATTTCTCTTATGAAACCAAGAAGAAAAACAGAATAACACTTTAATGAAATTGAAAAAAAAATAAATCAATAAAAACATACTGTAACCGTAGCTAATAGACCTTCTGGAACATTTGCTACAATAATACCAATTAAGAAGATAACAGCTTCAAGCCAACGATAACCCAATATAAAAGCAATAATAAAGAATGTTACACCAAGAACCATTGCAACAGCTGTAATTAAATGAATAAAATGATTTATTTCTTTATGTATTGGAGTTTCGCCAAGTTCTAAACCAGATGCTAAATTTGCAATACGACCCATAACAGTACGATCACCTGTACTGATAACAATACCACGACATGTACCTAAACAATAAAGTAATATATGCATATATATATATTTGATCAGAAAATCCCCAATTAATTTAATTAAGAGTGAAACTGTAATATAATTAAGTATTCCTAGCTAATTGTTAAACTATCATTTCAATGTTCTGTAAAAATGTATTGATGAAATTAAAACATTCAGTGAAACTCGACAATCAATTCCATAACCACATACTGATAATTATCATGTACCCACTAGTGGTTAGATTTGAGAGGGAATTTTCAGAGTTCCAATGAGAAACCGTGACTAGTGGAACTGATCGATGAGAAGTGTGAGACAGTTACCTATGAAAGACAATTGAAGATGGTCACACAATGTCGTGAATTGATTAAAGCTAGATATTAATAGTGTTGGAAACCGGCTTGCACTCGCGCGCAAGACTATAGGTCCTAGATCCCATTCCTTCATGTGGGGTTATGGATGTGCACTGCCGAGAAGTCTTATACTAGAGCAAATGACTGTCCATAATATTGTAAGTGTAAGAAATTAGTTATTCAATTAATTTCAAATATGATAAGTATATCATAATAAATATAAATAACTTACCATCAACAGCGTTAGTTGAGAAAAAGGCTAAATTTCTTGTTTCTAATGGATTTTCATTAGAAAACTCTGTTGTACGTGATTGAGGCTCTGATTCACCAGTTAATGCTGAATTATCTACCTAAGAAAATGATTTTAAAAAAATGATTTGACGGTCATATTTGATTAATTTTGACAATTTGTTAAATATGGTTACTACAGGATTGAAGTATAAATTACTTGGACTAGTCACCTCTTCCTATACAAACCTATCAATTTAACTGCTTTTGTGTCCCCAAATGCCCTGGTATGGCCGAGAGTGGGATGGGTCTGCCCTCGCTCTCGAAATGCTCTCACAAGGCCACTCGTATACAGCCTCTGCCAGGGAAGTCCTAATCACTACCTTCTCGTAGCAGGGGTGTTATTTACAAAAATGGGAGAACGAAAAGCGAATGTCCGGCGCTTTAACCGGATTCCAAACCAATAGTGCACAAGGGCTCCAATATCCTGAGGGAACAAATGGCGTATAAACCAATTGTTTAGCACCAGCTACCATGGAAATGCATTTCCTCACGATGCTCCACTGCCTTGTGGATCAGATATTCAGGTCAAAGGCTCGGAGTGTGGCCCCCTAAGAAAACCACCTGCTTCGGTCTGGGCACCCAGGCAGTTTCACAGCCCACACACACACAAATATGGTGTGGCGCATATATATTTGGTGCCTTCTTGTACCAACATTTATGTGTTGAGATAAATAAATAAATGAATAAACTGTTTTTGTGGAGCAATTTGCATTGATTGACGTTCTAAGAGTTTTTACTTTTTTGCTCGTGAATAATCCTCCCCCACAGTGTAACTGAGTAGACGTATTGTTGCAATCTATAACAGTTCATTTTTAGCTCATTTAATGCAAATTGGTCATATATCTATATATATCCTGTTAACAGTTATCTGCCTAAATATGTCAAAATAAGAATCTTTTGAACAGATGAAGTAATAGCTATTCAAATCGAAAAATTGGAGCTTTGTATCCAAGAGAAAAATGTTTGACAGCATTTGTTTTTACCATGAGTACAAAACTGGTATAACTATTTAAAAATCCTTGGAATAATATGATGAAAAAAATATTATGACGATACTTTCAGCTGCCCCCCCCTCTATGTTTTTTTCTAAGTTCCAATTTACTGTAATCATATATCTTAGTACCCATCGTTATTTATAGGATAGAATACATATCCCTAAATTTGTAGATTATCTTTTTTTCAATGTTCAATAATTTTACAATATTTAAAATGATGTTTCCACCCGTTTAGTTAATGAATATCATAAATAGAAGGATATTTCTAATTGGGGATTTTATTTCAATTTTTAACTTTCAAATTTCTTTTGCTTGTTTCATTTAACAATTTTCAGTATTGAGTTGTGAAGATTGTTGAATTTCATTGAAATCATGAATTGATCTAAGTTAAACTAATACTGAAAATCTAGTAGCATGAAATGGTCGTTTTGTCCTAGTATGAGACTAATCGATATTGCCTATCCACGACCTTTCATATTGGACTTAAACTTAACACCATCATACATTTATGTATCTAGAAGATTTGCTTATCTAGTTTATTTAGCTTTGCTTTTTAATAATGTTCTTTTGGATTAACTTGGGTTAGTAAAACAAACAGATGATATGGGAATCCAGGACATCAAAATCGAAGAAAAAATTTCTCAGTATGGGGTTTGGGAGGCTATCAAGTTTTTGATTTAGATCATAAACCGATTGATGTTAGATTACCATTGAAAACCTGGAAGTACTGGACGGCCGTTTCATCCTATTGTGGGACTCCCCAGTATTAGTGCACATCCACGATCCCACTCGCGGTATTCGAACTCAAGGCCTTTTGGTCTCTCACGCGAACGTCTAACATCTAGACCATTGAGCTGGCCGGCATTCAACGGTGTTAATGTCCAACCTCAACCAATTCATGGAATTGCGTGACCATTTTCTATTGTACTGAGTTAGATACCTGTCTCTACTCGACACGGATTAGCTCCACTGGTCACAACTTTTCACTAGAACTCCGAGAATTCCCACACGAAGCTAGTCACTAGTGAGAACATGCTAATTATCAGTATGAGGCTGTGGAGATTATTAAGTTTTTTTGTGACTGAGATTATGAACCGGTTAAGGTTATAAATGAATTAATATTTAAGAACTAATCTATAAGTCAGACTGTTAACTAATCTGATTTATCACATATACTAGTCATATAGAAACATAGTTGTATTATTCAAAACAATTAAACCCTAACTGATACGGTTGCCTTTGTGTTTATCGTTAAATTTTATAATCAAAATGGATGAAGGCCGTGACCAATGGAGCTAATCCGTGTCGGGGAGAGACAGGTATTTCGTGAATTGGTTGAGGTTAGACATTAACATCATTGGATGCCAGCTCAGTGGTTTGGAGGTTAAGCGTTCATGCACGAGACTGAATGCCCTGTGTTCGAATCCCGCGAGTGGGATCGTGGATGAGCACTGCTGAGAAGTCTCACAACAAGATGAAATGGACGTCCAGTGCTTCCACGTTTTCCATGGTGATGTAACATCAATCGGTTCATGATCTTAGTCAAAATGAATTCAATATATATTTACTTACTTTAAATGAACTTGCAGTAATAATTCTTATATCAGCTGGAATACGATCACCAAATTTCACTTCAACTATATCACCAACAACTATACTTTCTGCTGGTACTTCAGTTTTTAAACCATCTCGTATGACAAGTGCAGTCTAAAAGTTTTTGTATAACATTATATTATGATAAAATAACAAATGAGAAAAGGAAAGTGTTATTATTACTGAAAATACTGAATATAAATATTATGTCAAGTGATTTTATATTTTACAATCCTCTAAAGAGATGAGTACAGATTATAAACCTAATTAACTTTCATAAAATCTTTTTTGAACTAAAACCATGATTATGATATCACTAGTTACTAACTTCATGGTGTTCTAGTGAGACCTCATGACTATTAGATTTCAGAAATGTTATTAATGAAACAGTTTTTACCTATGGGAGTAGATAATTATCGCACCATACTGTAAATTGATTGAAGCTGGTATCATACTAATGGACAGTGACCCAGTGGTTTTAGTGTTTGAGACTTGAAGGTGCTGGATTCAATGCTTAGTGAAGTTTTGGGTGTACACATGACTGAATACTCCTATATTATTACTGGACAGCTTCTTAGTATCCTTCTCTTTAAACTGATTCCTTAGCTGATGTTATCATGTGGTAAATACAGCTCGTAAATTAAACCAGTCTTTACAAAACCTCTTTCGGTTAGAAGTCGTAAACATACTTGTTTTAAATCTTACTGTTGTATGTCATCATTTTTGTCTGAAATTGTAATGGCTTGTAATTACTGCCATATTAATACATCGATCATTCATTAAACGACGACGAGCACCATGTTCGAGATGATGGAGAAGATTTGTAGCTCAGGTGGATGATTTTGGTGGAGTAGACTACTGCTTGAAGTTTGTGCAGATGATGGAGTTCAGATGAAAGCTTCACGACCAAACCATCAAGCTCAGAGAACAAAACTTCACCAAAATGCATCATGTTTACCTAGTTTTCAATGATAATTGACAGAAACCTATCGATCATGTTTAAATGATTCGACATTACATGCAATATATTTTGCTGCTAGATTGCCACCTAAATACTTTAGTGGTAGCTTACTGGACTGTGAATCTAAGTAACAAGTATTTAAATACCATAATGTCCATAAGTTAATTGAAGAATGTATGTTTTGTGAATCAGTACCAACTAAAATCAAACCCAGATTCAGAGTTTCCTAACTAGCCTTTAAGTAGTATATATATTCTTCGTTAGACGAAAAATCATCTCGACTTTATTACAAACAGTGTAAGTATTTCAAGATTAGGTTGGCTATTTATTACTAAGTAGAAATTCCTTAGCAGATCACGTACAATACTTAATGTGGTTCGCAAGTTGGGCAAAGGGGTTGGAAAAACGTTCAGATAGCTTTTTTTTTGTATTTAGATAGAGAAGGAGAGAAATTCACCTGCAATACTCTTTATTTATCAATTTGAATTCAGAAAACTCTGTATTTAGTCAGTCATCATCGAAACACAACTAGACTATCGGTATACTCTAAATAAATTAAAAAGTCCCTAGGTAGAAAGCTATTCTTGGATGATCAGGGGGTAAAATACCTACCCCTAAAAAATATTTTTAACGAAAATAAACTAAGTTTTTAAAGTAAGAAAACCTGATGAACATCACTTGGCGAATAAACGTTCATAATTGAGTTCATGAGTCAATTAAAGCTGGACCAACATGGAATACCTGTAAAACACTGGACGGCCATTTCGTCCCAGTATGGGACTCCTCAGCAGTACGCACCCACGTTCCTGTACGCGATATTTGAACCCAAGACCTTTGGTCTCGCGCGCACGTGCTTAACCTCTAGACCACTAAGACCGCATCCAACGGTGTTAAATTCTAACTTCAATTAATTCACGAAATTACATCACCTTCCACCATTGTCTTCTGAGAATAACTACCTCACAACAGACCCGATTGAACTCCACTGGTCACAGCGAGACCAAAGGTTCTGGGTTCGAATCATACGAGCGGGATCGTGAATCATCTATTTCTGACTTTTGAAATGGTATAATGGTTTGGTTTCATCAATATTTTCTTTGACAAAATTTTCAATACAAATGTCAAAACAGTTCTACTATATGGGGCGGAATCTTGCAGAACTACGAAAGTCATCATCCAGAACATAAAAGTGCTTATTAACAGTTGTCGACGCAAAATACTTCGGATTGGTTAGCAAGACACTATCGGCAACAGCCTACTGTGAGAGAGAACGAACCAAATTCAATTGGAGGAAGAAATCACCGTGAAGCACTGAAAATGTATAGGAAACATATTGAGGAAAGCACCCAACTTCGGCACAACGCAAGCATTCATCACATGGAATCGTCAAGTCCAGAGAGGAAGAGGAAGACCAAAGGACATATTACGTCGAGAAATGGAGACATAGATGAGAAGAATGAACATTAATTTGATAGAACTAGAAAGGAATTCACAGGACAGATTGAGTTTGAGAATACTGTTTGGCGGCCTATGCTCCATTGGGAGCAACAGGCGTGGGCAAGTTGTAAGTAATATTTTCTTTGAGTACAAGTGAATATTCATTTGTTGTGTCTAACTGTCCTCATAGATCAGTTTTTTTACCACTTGAAATCAATAGAACAGAGTGATTTAGCATTATTTCTATGGTGTTTAACGATGATTTACTTTAATTCGTAAATTTAATCAAACAACTGTTACAAAACTGTTTAGTTTTATTATATGTAGCTACTTGATCCTTTGTATCAGATTCCTCATCAATGCGTATATACGACTATATCATGGGTTGAAATTTCGACCTTCGGGTCTTAAGATAATTACTCAACTTTAAAAAAACACCACATTCACATCGAATAGCCCATGTGTTAATTTGTGATACTGTACAATTATAATAAATTAACTAATGTTTATTTCACTAATAATATGGTCAAGTTTTCATTGCTCATTACTTTTAAACTAGTTGTCTGTCTGACACTTTATTCTATGATCTCTAATGATTTACATTTATTAATATTGTACAGAATTAAAATGTAGTTTTATTAACAATTAAATCATTCATTTCATAGAATACAATACAATTATCATCTAAATGCTATGGTACGGCCGAGAGTGAGGAAAGTCAGCTCTCCCTAGCAAATGATCAAGTGTACACAACCACTGTCAGGGAAGTCCTACTCACTGACTTCTCGCACCACGTATATTGTTTACGAAATCGAGAGGACAAAAAGCGAATATCCACTGGTTTAACCGGATAGGGTAGTTGGAAAACCTTTATTACAAGCCATTGTTGTACATGGGTTACAGAAATAAATGGCATATGAACCAATTGTTGATCACCGGCTATCATAGGACTGCACTGCCTTGTGGATTAGACCTTTATGTCAAAGGCTCCGAGTGTGACTCTCTAGGAAAACCACCTGCTTCGGTTTAGTTACACAGGCAGTATCCAAGCTCTCACACAAATCAAATGATTTATGTGACGTATATCTATTTTTTGCCTTCTTGTACCAATATGTATATGTTGAATAAATAAATAAACTTTCTTACTTGTGGAACTAAATTTTTAAATGAATCCATAATACGTGATGATTTTGATTCTTGATAATATGAAAAACATCCAGTAATAACAACAACAGCGAGTAAAACAATGCCAAGATATAACTAAAAGAAATAATAATAAAAAGAATATTAAAGTTAAAAAAAGTAGATTATTATTATTATTATTATTATTATTATTGTTATTAGTAGTAGTAGTAGTAGTAGTAGTAGTAGTAGTAGTAGTAGTAGTAGTAGTAGTTGTAGTAGTAGTAGTTTGAGGAGTAGGAGGAGGAGGAAGAGTAATGAGAATTTGACGTGAATGGTATCGAGTTCGAGTCCCAGAGTGAACATCAACTCTGAGATGTAGGTACACTAAGCTGACAAGTTTCAAATAGGGCGAAACGTGCATCAAACTGGATTTCACTGCTAGCCACTATCCATCATTGTTTAAAAAAAGCTTGTAAATTAAGGCAATATCGGGGCATATGCCAATGACAGACTGATCAGTCGCAGTCTCAAACCTCAATACCAAGTTAATTTAGTGAGAAGGAGTTTATAGAAATTATTGACATTCATAGTTTACATAAAGAACTGAGATTTTAATTAGATAATCTGATAAAGTTGTAAATAAACACTAATAATGAATCTCATATAAGGACAAAACAAATATCATATCATAACTATGATCAATTCTTCATGAAAGTTATAAAACATGAAAATCTTCACAAAACATTGTTTTGATAAAAAGAAATATATATTAGATCATTATGATAGCTTAACACAATCATTAATCTATTAGACTATATATCAAAATTAATCTTAGTAGATAATTGTCTTTATTGAATTCATACTTTCCAAATTATTACTACGCGATGGGGTCACAAACCCTATGCCCAACCTTCCTCCTTTACCCGGGTTTTGGACCGGCAGTAACTCTAGAAGAGCTACAGGCGGAATCCTAAACGGAAGTGGAAAAGAGGAAGGCCAAAGAACACATTACATCAGCAAATAGGAGCAGAAATGAAAAGGATGAATAACAACTGGAAAGAGCTGAAAAGGATTGCCCAAGACTGGGTTGAATGGAGAGTGCTGATGGGCGGCCTATGCTCCTCCATGAGGAGTAACAGGAGTAAGTAAGAATTTGTAGGATAAAAGTCATTGAGTCAACTAACTGAAGTAAGTGAGTAGTTATTTAGAAAATAAAATATTTTTACCATGATTCATGTTATAATGATGTGTATAATGAGAATTGATTAGTCGATTGAAATCAGAAATTACTAACTGATTATAATGATATTATGAGATTGGAATCGTTATAAATACAAAATGAGGAGTATAGGACAAAACGGCTGTCCAGTGCTTTCAGGTTTTCCATTGTGATCTAGCTTCGATTGACTCATGATCTCAACTATATAAATTACTATAATATCCACAAAAATTCCCTTCTGATACTAATCAACATATGCTCACTAGTGACTGGTTTCAAGGTGTATTTCCTGGATTTCTAACGAGAAGTAGTGACAGAGGGGTTCAACAGGGTCAGTTGTGAGATAGTAACTCTCTGATGACAATGGTGGATATGTCGCTCAATTTTGTGGATTAGTTGAAGTTAGACATTAAAACCATTGGATGCCGGCCAGCTTAGTGATCTAGTGGTTAAGCGCTCGTGTGCGAGACTGACAGGCCCTGGGTTCGAATCCTGCGGGGTGGAGTCGTGAATGCTCACTACTGTGGGAGTCCTACAATAAGACGAAACGGCCACTTAGTCCTTCCAAGTTTTCCATGGTGATTTAGCTTCAATTGACTCATGATCTCAATTATTTAAAGTATAACTTTTCTTTCTTTATAACTCTTTTGATTTAATCATCTTTATAGCCAGTATCTATTATTTATTTGTATAAATTGTGAATGAACATGATTAATTGGTCTATTAAATAAGTACTATTTAACTCAGTCACGTTTCGGCTTTATCGACTACAACCTATGACTGAAAATTATGTTATAATGGTATAATATCCTTTAAGAGCCTTCTATGCTTGATGGAACTAATTGGTTTATATCACTATTCAATAAAGCTATCAGATTTATACTTCACTTCACTTTGTCGATGTCAATTGTGCAAAAGATCATATCTTGATTGAATTCACTCCATTTCTGGTAGTTATTCTCTAAGGAACTTTTAAGTAACATCCCTTAAATAATAACCGTTGTTATCGCTTTGTCATTTAATGTATCATTTTATTTTCAGCGTTGCTTTCTATATATAGCCATTACAGTTTATGGTATTAATATTTAAATTGTCAAACTATCAGCTCTTTCAAATTCACTTGGTTTGTTTATTTGAACCTTGCACAAACAAATGGTTATCAGAACTCATTAGCTAAGTGGATAACAAGATGGCGTTTGAAGCGAACGGTGGTGGGTTCCAGTCCTGTACTGAATATCAACTCTGAGGTACAGTTACATCCAGCTGACGAGTCCCAAATAGGACGAAACGCGCATCTTGGATTCGAGTGCTAGCCACTATCCATTTCTTGTTTATTATCTCCTTTGTATATTGTCTCATTTTAATTAAGTTCTTTTATAAGTCAACTACAAACTCCAAAGTAAATATTTCAATAATATTATCCGGGATTACAGTGTTTTGTTTAATGAGAATAACCCGTCATACAATTTGATGTTTAACTTGTACATACATAGTTTATATTCAAAAATGTACATTTTGATTATCATTGAAAAACTTTTGTATAAGGTAATATCATTCAATCAAAATGAGAATTCCAGTTATTTCATGCATAATTACTTTATCAGTACACACATTGAAGATGTATACTATCGTTATTATTAGTTTGTGATGAGATATATCTATAGTCAGTTTAAGTAGTTTATAGAAGAATATACAATTCAAACTATGTCAATTTCATCATTGTCTATTATCTACAGTTTTCTTTTTTAAAAAGTTAATTAAATTTTTCAATCAGACATATAGTAAAATTTGCTATAAAAGCTTAAATGTATTTCAGAAAGAAAAATGAAATTAACAAGGGTTAGTACAAAGAGGCATCGAAATATGAATATGGTAAACAGAAATCATTGAATCTGTGTGTAGGTTGAGAATACTATCTAGGTCCCCAAACTAAAACGAGTGGTTTTCTCGCAAGGTCACTCACCGAACCTTTGCCCCAGAAGTCTTATCCATAAGTCAGTAGAGGAAAGTTAGGTGTTGTTGACACATGGTGGCCAGTGACCAAGAACAGGTTTATGCTCTACTCGTTCTCTTAGAATTCTGACTCCTGTATACACCATTGATTTCGAATCAGGGTTTTCCAACTTTACTAAGTGAATGCTCCATAGCCACTAACCCGGTTCGGATGCCGGGTATTCACTTTCCATACTTTCAATTTGATAACTAACATCCCCACCACCAAAGGATAGTGAGTAGGATTTTTCTAAAAGTGGCCATTTACGATCCTGTGTTTTGCTATATTTTGACACCATATTAGTACAACCGCCTTAAATTAGCAGGACGAATGGAAAGGGAGTCTGAATAGTATAGTTATAATGACAATAAGAAAAGCGAACACAGATAATGTGATTATAAAAGACAATGGAAAGGTTTATATGAAGGAATATTAGAAATTTAGATCTGGAGCATCAACGATAATATGACCGATTCCTACCCATATCAGCCAACATCTCTAGCTACTGGTCTCAATCATCGTCCGGATTTAAACCAGGCAGTCTGAACTTACCAACATAACTCAAACCACTTGTCAATGGTTTCATGGATTGGTACTACTTTTTAACTTGACTTTTCATTCCTTTCTTTAACCAACCTCCGGACCAGCAGCTGACATCACTCGTCTAGGTAAGCAATGATTGCTTATAAGTAGTAAATATCCTTACCACTTTAGGTGATATAGATTCATTATCTTATCAACTGATTTTCTAAATCTATAAAGTACCTTTACGACAGTATTGTTCATTATTGGATTTTAGTAGATTTCCCTATTCATGTAGCATTTCTGCTTAGAGAAAACACTTCTACACTAAACAATATCAAAGTTAGAAATTATTCCCCATTATTCATAACAAACGATAAAAACTTCTTTGGTTTTAATACATTCAAAATAATGATTGAAATTTTATAGTATCTAACAGATGGTGCAAAAAAGGTAATTAGTTAGCATACACAATAGAGTGAGTCGGTATAGATTACTCGTTAATAGCAAATCAGAAGATTCCAAACTTAGATTCTTAATGATTCAATATACATTCAATAATAATCTTTAGTTGATCTATAGTAAAGAATGTTTGTGATATAAAACAACAACAAAACGCGACAGAGACAAGAAGAGGTTGGGTATACTGATTTTTTCTGTATAGATACTTTAAAGTTTCATACAATTGGTACCTTTTTTCAAAAGACAATTAACATTTTAGTAAAATATGAATACTTGATAGTTGCACATGATTTGATTTGATTAGTTTCTTGTATGAATTAAACATGGTAAAGTTTTTTTTACCACTGGTTAAATTGTTCTGTGCTAATAATGAATATGAAAGTTAGTTTTTTTTTGCATTTTCCATATGAATGTACAATATAGCAATAGTACAGATTGTACTAGTGTAAAATATATTCTGAGCTAATTTAACAGAAGAATAGTTCATTTATGGTAAAGGAGAATGTAATTCTAATAAGAATAGGAAGGTTATTGAATCTCTGTGGAGAATTTGTTCAAGAACCACTCATCTAAGCTGATGAGAATAGTGACATAAGGTGTAAATACACTGAAACTACATCATTTTCAATGGTTAGTTTGGGACCTATATGTGGAACGAATCGTAAGTTAGATCTTATATTGAAAAACGAAAATAACTCGTCTAGAAAATTTTCCTTGCGTTACTGAAGGAGTTTAGAAAACTTTGTATTTTGTTAGCATCTTTGCTAAACAGAACTATGTCGTCAGTTTATTATGAATCAACGAGAGGGTTTCCGCATAGTCATTCAACTAGCAAAAAGATGAATTATCAAGTTGTTGTTTCTAGTGGTACATAGTCAACGAGATTGAACAACAATGAGAAATCTGTGATCTTTTTTGTACACCACTGGTTGTAGTCAGATTGTAAAACAGTTCCATATATGTTATAACTCTTTTAACAGCATATGAACACGTGTCATTCAAAAGGTTGATATATTTCTTCGATACATCATTCAATGATAAAAGCTGACACAAAAATAATTTAGATTGAATGCATCTTTAAGTTAGAATATATAGGTTACGTTTACGAATCGATAGATATTTCTTCGTTTCAAAACCTTGAGAGTAGTGCAAACGTGATGTGTGTATTCATAGCTCGGTCTGAATCCATCCTACTTTCTGTAGATTTTAGAGTACCTTAGCTCATATCAAAAGTCAGGTAATTATGAGAGATTGTTTTATAGAAATAATAGTGTTCAACCTAATTTAACTGTGATTTAGAAAAGAGGGTTTCTGTCCCGTTTCATATAGTGGAACGGTCAGTTCTCAGAACAAACTAAGTAAAAGTATGGCTTCTCTTCATGTGCTAGAACGTATATGATTTGGCTTAACTTCTTAGCTTGGTGTGCTTCTCCAGAAATCTCCGCAGTCAACCTGCTTCGGGTATATTACGCTACAATGCATTACATAACTTCTGTTTTTTTCTATTTTGTGAAAAGTTGAAGCTCAATCTTGGTCGGTATCTCCACTTCTCAGGGGTATCAAGAGATTATGTAAACCGTCTCGCAAAATTTTGCGCCAGAGTTTGTGTTATGAGGGTGGGTAATCTTTTTGTGTTACTCAAGGGTAACATACTTAAAACTAAACATTTTACTCCCCACACTTCTAATAAATTTGAATAGCTTTCTAGTGTTATTTACCTCTAACCTCCGTTTGAGCTTCCTTCGCTAATGTTGTCCATCACTATTCACATTCGTTGTATAGATCTTTTTTATGTCTACGCATAGATGTCAGACTTACTGCTAAGCGGGTGAAAAAGCTCATATTTTTGGATTTAAGGCATAAAGTAAACTAGCTTTCTTTCCACCTCTTTGCATATTTATACAACTGTATATTAAAATGAAAAACTTTTAAGGCGTCAAACATAACCCTGAATTGTATAAATAATATGCTTACCAACTTGTTTCTATTTTCAAAACTGGTTTATTTGGATGATAAAAAGACTTACATTATCCTTTACATCTTCATCTTCAGCACTTCTCTGAATACCATATGCGATAAAGCAGAGAATGGCACCAATCCAAAGTAGCATTGAAAATCCACCAAACAGTGTCTTACAAAATTTCACCCATTCTGGTGTCGTTTTAGGAGGTGTCAGTGCGTTAGGTCCATCACGTTCTAATCGAATTCTACATTGAAACAAAATTCGACATCATAAAATAGTTAGTACTTACTTAACTTCTTCAGATTTCAATCCATTTTCAGGGTCGGTGTTAAGTCGAGCATACAACTCTTCGAGCGGTATTTTGTGCTCATCCATATCCAATTCTTGTTTAAGATCATCCAAACCATCTTTCAGTTTATTTTTTTCGGGCTTCTTTTTGCCAGTAACCTTGCGGTAGACTTTTCGTATCTTCAAAAAACAAGTTGTTTTAACATTATTCATAAATGTATTTTATTTTTTGAAAATGTTTTTTGTCTGTGCGAATAACAATTTCATTATCAAAGATTAATAATTTATTTCAATATGAGAATTGGCCGTAATAGCAGAGTGTACCATCTAATAGAAATCAACGTGTCAAAAATTCAGTTCAGAAAGGACTCAATATAACCATTATAAATGCGCTTAAATCTCAAGATAAATATGCTATAAACTCGTTTATATTTGATTCAGTAACTTGGTTAAGGATATTACCTGACCGAAAACAATACTTGTACTTTTGAATTTCTATTGGGTGACAAATAAAGTAATAAAAGAATTAAAAAACACAAAAAGTACATATTTTGATTTAAAAATACGTATGTGGTTTTACATTGAAACACTTTGTTACATGTCATATTTTAAGAAGAAATTGAAAAGAATTAATTTGTTTCATTTAAATGAGATGACAAGTTTGACTATACTTCTCAGTCTTTTGTTGCTCGCTGATTTCGGACTTATTATTCCTTTATATGATAACTTAAGTGTATCTCCCGCTGATAGGAATAAATTTAAATTTCTTTGCGTCTTTTAAACAAAGAGATAAATTGCTGAATGCTAAAATCATGTTTTAGAAGAACGCAAGGATTTTTTACATTGAATCACATTTCATATGTACACTAACCACACGTAGAATATGCTAATGATACACCATGAAATGTTGTGAAGAGGTATTTTTGATACACAGGTGCTACAAAATCCTAAGGAGGGGTCATTGAAAGATACTTAACAGCAAGTGTGAGTTAATTAATCTTATCACTCTATTCGTTGACTATATGTACACGAAAAATTGAGATTAGTTGTTTGAAAAATAGAAAGATCTACCCTATATGACTGTATCAAAGTATATATTGGTTGACAAAACAACGTTTCGTTGTGTTGTAAAATCATTTCAAACTTTTATTTACAACGTGAAAATTGGTTTGTTGATGATTTTGTAAACTGGGCTTAAACTATCCTACAACCACTTTCGATTATGATAAATTTTGGTATCGTTATGATCATAAGATCACATGACAGACTAGCTAAAATGTTGATCTTTTAAATATCACTCGATGACTCATTCTCCTCCCTATATATATATATATATATATATATATATATATATATATATATACTCAAATCCTATTATTAGCTTTTGCTTTGCCTTGCTGGGCCCGTATGCAATTTGATTATAAATTTGCCTCTTTATTTGCTCACATATACATATTCGCTTTTCTGCTTCAAATTCGCATTATATGTTTATAACCTTACCATCTGCGCTATCCGCTAATAAACTTTAGTTGCCTATATTTATTGATTCCTAATTTCAAACATCGTTGAGGTTTATGTAGTAACGGTTACAAGGGTGATAAATCAACGAAGCAAAGCCACTACAGCCTTATGCATCAGACAGTATCTATCGTCAAATCCTCCAAAACTATCATATTTTACTAGAAAGTCTAGGAAACAGTTAAATATTTTCACTCAAGTATAAAACATGATTTTTTCTCTTAAAAAGTCACAATATAAAACATAAAAACTAATTCGTCAACACTTTTAAGTATTTTGAGAATTGAAAACTGAGAATATTCTTGTTATGAAGATAAAGTTATCAGTTCATTTTGAAGATCCCGGATATGTCCAATCATACACTTATGAAAAAATAACCATTGACTGGTGTAATCTCATCCTTAATGTAAAAATGTTTAGACTGTCTTGCTCTAAAAAGTTAAACATATACTTAAGGCCAAAAGAATCCCTGTATTTTTGATTCTCGTTTGAATAACAATGAGCTATGAAAATAGCAAAGAAATCCGTGTAAACAATATAAATATATCACAAACTCAAAACAGTCAATGACCTTAATTGTTAACTCATATCATACTACTTAAATGGGTTCAAAATATATGTTAAATGAGAATTAACTTCTATTAAATCTACAGAAAGCACTGAACAGTCATCTGCTTCCTATAAATTCTTAAATGCTCAATATAGATTATTATGATTTTACTGGGTAAATAAGCCCCAACAATGACACAAGAACATTGTGTTTGTTTTATACTTAATGTCTGCGAACTGACATTTTGGGTCTAATTTTATAATAATCAGAATTTTCTTTTAGCAAATCCTTTTTTGCATGTTAGACAAAAAATGTTATAAGATGACCTTATGGAAAGGAACAGATGATAATCGATGGATCAGAAGTAAATACATTAGTGCTACCAACAGAAAGAATTCAAAGCTATGTTTACAGGTACTTTGAAGTTTGAAACTCATTTGGAAACTCATTGTTCATAGTCTATGATTAGGCAAGGAGTTAATACAACTTACTCAGTGTTGATAAATTAAATTGAAGTGTAATGACTACTTACGAATATCGAGATGTATGTGACGATTAGTTTTAGGAATTAGTACAACAAAATGAATTTAGGAGGGAGAGTTATGATTGAAAGTAATATTTTCCAAGACGAGATGACATCAACTTCAAAATTGGGGTTCGATTATAACACATAGGCGAGTAAATAAATCAAACTTCCATCAAACACTATTTTAAAGTCTATTGCTTGTCCGTAAATCTTAGTACTTATCTCAAAAACAACTTTGCCGACTAAAATTTAGTTGAGTGGTCAGGAGATTTCCTTACCAATAACAGCCTATATTGGACGAAACAACTATCCCGAATACTTTTTTGTTTTATGTTTAAATGCTAGAGTGCAGTTAAATTAAGCTTCAAATGTACACAGCTTCTCAAAACTTACCACATTCATATCTAATGACCTAAGTTAAAAATAAAAACTTTCGTTCTCAAGGTCAAACTGGTTGCATTAAACAAACAGTGCCTTCTTCATGTATACTTCTATCTTTAAACTGATGAATCAGACGATCATATAAAATTCTGCATTGTTTTTACAAACACTTTCTGCTTATATTTGTTCTCATATAAGTGAAACAAACGTTCATAATAATTTTCCTAACAGTGAAAATAGTGTGTTATTTATGAGGGAATTTTTCAACTTCAGTCACGTTGGCAAAAATAATGTATGTCAAACAAACCCCTGTACTTTTTAGCATTCAATCAACTCGTGTTGACATTTCGATTTCATTTACTCACATTTTCCGATTCACTTGCCTTTGTAATGGTTGAAATTTACTACTTGACCACAATTAACAATTCTCCTAGTATATCAACGCGCTACATGGTGTATTTGCATTAAATATTTTTAGTACCACAATGTAGGTACTACAGCAAACCTAAAAACAGTACCTTTTATCTAAAGTAGAAACACAAAACCCCTTTCATGAAAAGTGTAGCACGGTAGCTATGAAGCATACTAAACAAAGATATCGCTCTAAATGAATTCCGTCTGAAATCGTTTATCTAACCTAAACAAACTCAGTTGAAATGGTACACATTACCATGGAAACTAACGGAACATTGCTTTGAGCAGCAACAAAGAAAAAAGTGATATCGGAAAGATAATCGTACCAGCAATTAGTTCATTAAAAAGTGATAAGTCGTAATACTGTAACAGGTAAAGCACGCTAAAAACTCCTCAAAGCATTGCATTGCGTATTTTTGTCATTTTTCCAGTTGTCCCGCATTTTAACCTTCATTTAGTTCTCTGTTACCGGGCCATGGATAATAAGGTCGTGTTTGACCAAACTCAAATTCTCAATGACGTTCAATGTACGGCCGTCAACCTTTGATTGTCCGCTTGAAAGGGTTACATGAATTTTTGAATAAAGCCATCCGATTATATCTTGTCGGGAATATTTTTATTGACTGATAGGTATCAAACAGTTTTTCGTTAGCTATTCCTTTTGTTTTTATCACAGTAGTTTGTGTTGGAGAAACTCATGGATATATAGCACAGGCCGCACCGTTTGATATAACTTGTTCTCTTCATTAAAATGAAACAATTATAGTTTGAAAACATAGTTTGTGTTTTCATATAACTGAATACGAGTCACTCAAAAACTCTTCGTATTATACACAGAAGAACGTAATTTGGTTTGTTAATAATAATAATATATTTCTGCGCGTCAGGTACTCGCCATTTTTACAGGCATGATATATAAATTACAACAGTACATGCCTCCCAACTTATAAAGTTTGTAATTGTCATAAAGTAGACTCGTAGAGCGCTTGCTCTTTGGTATATTGTTCGTCACAGCACGTACATGAAGTTTCCCAGTTTAACTATCGGTCATCACATCTCAACTATCAGTAGGTTTATTAAATTACCTACCTTTCTTAAAGGAATTAATGCTAACGATTTTTTTGCATTTCTGCGTAACTGAAAAATAATTAAAAAGAACACAATCACAATAACTTTCTTGTAGGAAGTGGATCATTTGGAGTTATCAATAGTTTTACAGTCATCAGTTAGTACGTCGGATTATTACAAACCCAGCACTACAATACATCCTCAGTAATAAACTGTAGTAAGAAATTATTAAGTTCAAATTCATTTTTAGTGGTATAGTAGTGTATTATGGTGTAACCGCAGATCGAAATAATAATGATAATGAACATTTAAGACATGTATTATTGAAGTAGTCACTCCTAACATAACAAGCTACTCCAAAATAGCGCAAAGGTATTCAAATATTCCCATCCTCTGAAGAAAGCGTGAAACAACTAACTTTTGCAGTTTAACCCATATAAGTCTACCGGTTCACTTTAAATCATCGTAAGTTTATCGGATTTTGTATTTAAGTAACTCCAGGCTATTGAGACTAAAAGAATCAGAAGGAACTTAATCGTAATATATCACGTCGCTTCCAGTCATCATCACTTCATTAATTCAGCGTTAAATTATATTTATGAAGGTGTCAATTCGTGATGGCGCCAAGTTTCATCCAAATTAGTTCAAGTTCCGTTGAGATCAAGTTATGTGAGTGATGAAATTGTCATGAAACACTTCTCTAAAGTACTTCCTGTTATCTTGATGAATCTGTATCGTCTAGTCTCTGACAGGTCTAGCGTGGATGTACGTAATGAGTTGATGTGTATGAATCTGGAAAATAATGAGAGAAAAAAGTGAGTTAAAAGATCTGAAGACACGAACAACAGACTTAATTTATTGGTTAAACTGAACGACAACAATTATTATTGATGTAAGTGTGGAAATATTGGCATTATGATAATCAAAACTAAAGGTCGGCGGGATAAAATTTCAAATGCATTTACGCAAATCTGTTCCGAATGGGAAATATAAGAGATACATTACTGTAAGCAACTCCTTTCTTCAGTTATGCAAACGTTGTTCCTGTGTAACTAATAGTTATTAATTCCTGTTTAGGTAGCATTCTTAAGGTTTACACAGTAGGACAAATAATGGATTCCAGTAACACACAGGCGATCCTTCTCCACAAATTGGAGATGAAGGGTAACCAAATACATCGTTTGATAACAAAATGTTGAAAAACGCAATCGCCTCAGCTCTAGCCCAGAACGTTAGATATCCTAAAAGATATGACTCGCAAAACTTTTCGTCCTTCTTGAACTTAGTGTTCACATACGGTGATAAAATAGGTCAAGTAACTTTTCTCCCATCTTGAGGGAGAAGTGATCGTGCGGTCATCTTATTCAAGCTCATTGCTGAGATGACCTGTCAAACAGTTGACTCGGCCCTTGTTCGCGTATGGAAAGAAAGCATGAAGGCGATCACCTCTGCAGCCTTGGCTGGAAACTGGAAAATTGACCCAAATACATCAATAGAAAAAGCATGGACTCATTTCCGGCAGTTGTGCAATCAAGTAACTACATCATTTATACCTAGACATTTTCAAGGAGAAAGAAGCAAAGTAATTCATGAATAGACTGAGATATTCGAAGTTTACCAAAACAAAAAAATATTGGAACGTCACCAACAGACTTGGTACGGTAAATATGACGGGGCAATGCCTGTCAATTCGAAAAATACGTGTATAATTATAATCCAAACAGTTTCGAGAAAGTATGAAAAGCAGTCAGCCCAGTCTATACTCAAGCAGCTGGAGACTGTTCTATTATAGATCAAGTTGGTCTCAAATGACGAATTAGGACCAAACCAAGTGTAGGACGTGGCGAACCATTTAGAGACAGTTTTTACCCTAGAGCCTCTTCTGGACGAAGATTAGACCAAAATATAGGTCACAAAATCAGCTTCTCACTATGAACTTTGGTCGAAATACTTGTCACCTTGAAATCGACAGTACAGCCCAATGCTGCCCCTCTGAATATGGTATTCGGTGTTTTACTTGACCAAGGTAAGATGTCTATGGATTGGAAGTTCACCATTATAACTCCAGTTCATAAAATAGGGTCAAGACAATTTCCATCAAAATACTAACTAACGGTATCGTATTTAAAATACTGGAAAGAGTAATCAAAATGATTGCGATGACATTTGTAGAAACCAGCAACCTGTTGAACAACAAACATTGTTTTGGGTAATGGTTATCTTGCATATCATACTTCCATGCAACAAGAGAGCATAACACAGAAGCTACAGATAACAGAAAATCAGTGGATGCTGTCCACGTAGACTTCAGAAAATTATTCGATACGGTGTGAAGAAGTCTAGGAATCTAGGAATTCCCGAACCACTTTGAGGAGTGAATCGAGGATTTCGTGGCAGGTCGTAGACAGAAAGAACAAATTCCGAATACTTCTAGAAACGAGTTCTTAGTGGAATACTGCAAGGCTTTTTACTAGGTTCTTTACTTTATATACTTTGTGAATGGACTCACAAGAATCGTTGAGCCCCAGTTGCTGTTATACTCTGATGATGTAAAAATCAGGCGATAATCAACCTTAGACGCAGATGCATGGGCACTTCATGTGAACTTAGTTTTGATAAGCTGGTATGAAGATTGTCTGATACCTACAAACGCGGCCAAGTGTGTCTACATGCACGCCGTAAGAACAAAGGCAGACAAAGCATTGAAGAAGAGTCAGTGCCCATAGTCCAGTCTCATAGGGGTCTTGGTGTGTCGGTGAGCCATGACCTTCAGTCCACCGATAGCAACCATTTGGTCGTGGCCAAGGGGTTTAGAACCCCATAGACTTTAGGGCGGACATATGCTGAGATACTAATATTTTCACTATGGTACGCATAACGTTTGTGAGATCCAAACATGGAAATCGCGTTCATGCTGCAAGCCCATGTGTCAAAAAGTGACTCGGATATCCTGTGAAAAGTTCAGGAGGAATACATACATAGAACCCTAGAACCCAATGGTTTGACGTGCAAAAAGAAGTTTGAGATGATACAACTCTTAACTTTTTCTTACGGCAGATTAAGAGGTAATCTGATTATGATGTACAGAATACTAAATAATGATTTTGAAGCGGGTGGTCAGCTAGTCGGCAACAACACAGAACTTCGTATATATGTACATCAGTTCGAGTTGCCATACCACGTTAGCACTAAGATGCGATTGTCGATTCAAATCCCATTGTGGTAGAGATAGTAAGAGTATAAGCAGTAATTGGAAACAGTAGGATTTGAAGACGTTGTTTGTTTAATTACGGCTCCTTATGGTTTAGTGGGATGTCACGAACTTAAGGTTTTAATGCTGATTTATCATGCAAAATACCTTAATTAATCGTGTTACGAACGTTGAATTGGTTTCAATTCCTACCCAGTAATCCTATTCCAAACAAACTAGACAATTCGCTAATATACGAAGCCTACTCAAGACCCTATGATACCTGAAAAAAAGTATAAAAAAAGAGAGGGGATCTAGTAGCTTCGATAAAAAAGGAATATAGCCAATTGTATATCACAATACTGTTTCTAGCACTATATATTATTTTAT